TATGGCTACCCGGAAATACAGTTACTAGTACTGATAGTCACCTGTGACTGCATGCTAAATGCATGGAAAGGTAAGTTGGTAGAACATAAAGTGGGTAGAACACAGAGAGTGACAGTGAGCTCCAAAACTGACATTCAAGTATCCTTGAGTTTTCCAGGCTCAACACATGAATACAGTGTAGTTTCATATTTGTTAGCTTTCCATGATATAATTTTGTGTGAATGTGTGTTGTACATGTTTGATATATAGTCTACTTTTCAGTCTGTTCTAAAAGGACGTGAACTTAAAAACCTGCCTTGTCTTGTCGCTTTTGTCTTGCCTTTTGTGTAAGAAGACCACTTATCTAAGAAGACGAGACTACTTTTCCTTGGTCCCCTGGGTGGTTGTACATGTACTAGACAAGTTGGACTGTACCTTGTCTGAATGTTTTGCTGCCAAGGCCTTCAGCTCTTCCTGTGACATTTCGTACGACTCCTTCAGATGTGTGCACTCATCTTCCACATTACTGCAGGTGCGCTCTGTGTCAGACAGCTTGGTCACAATCTCCAGTTTCTCTTGAAATATTCTTCTCAATGACTCCTGCAGTCATGATCAGAAAAAAAGTGCTTTGTAAGCTTCCCAAAAGGAACATCCCAACAAAAAGACTGGTACTCCAGAAGACTATACTCAACTTATTTCCAATGGTGTGTGGTACTGCTACTTGTAATGCGTTAAAAGCAAAAAATAATTCTTGAACCTTAGCTGTGTTCTCGTAGATGTGTTTATCCTCCTGCAAGGCCACTAGTTCCTTCCGCAGGCTCTCTTCTGTCTGGTTCTTGGCAAAAGCCTGCAGTTGGCTCTCCAGCACCTAGGGGGAGCCGAGTGCTGGTGTTAACTCACAACATGAGAACATTACAGCCACTGTGATAATCCTGACTCCCTGAATTCCTCTTTACCTTTACCAAGAAGGACAACTTGTGTCTGTCTGTCTGTGAATGGCATTACTTGAGAAGTCATGGATGGATACTACTAATATTTGGTGGGTAGTTAGGCATTGATGAGTTCTCATAGGCCCCGTTCACAGTGAAATAAATGGACCGGGATTGACCGCTGATCGGGATCAAAATTATGGAAATGAAGTCAATCCGGATCGGTTTTGCAGTGTGAACGCTCCAATCCGGACTGATTTTCTCCGATCCAGATCCAAAAGTAATCCACCTCGAGGAGGTAGTTCAAGATTTTGGAACCCCTATCGCTTGTTATATGGTACTGCAGCAGAACTTCTGGTTTTGATGTCTTGTGTTGGACACGCTAGGGTCATGACTCATGAGTGTAGATAGCTCTTGTACTCAGGAAGAAGTGATGTAACATACATGTTAGTGGCATGTTTCAGGTTTGACAGTCTAGTTTCAGGTTTGACATTTTAAAAAGGAGATGGTCACCTGTTATGTCAAGCATTCCACAATCTCCTTAAAGAAATAAAAAAACAAGTAGATAAGACAGTGACCTCCAGTCTGGACAGGAGCCTGTCCTCATCGATCAGTGCCTGCCAGCTGGACTGGGACGCCTCCTGGGTTTCTGACATCACCCTCTGTAACATGGCCAACTTGTTCTCCAACATCTGTTCTCTGTGAGCAGCCTCCTACAGGTACATGTATTAAACACACATTCACAACCTTCCTACAGGTACACATGTTCAACACACATCTACAACCTTCCTACAGGTACACATGTTCAACACACATTCACAACCTTCTTACAGGTACTTAATTACAAGTACAATTTTATTGAAGACACTTATTGAACATTTTGCTCCACTGGGCTAAATACAGCATATGACAGAAGTTGACAATCATACATGAAGTACACAGCTACATGAGGTCTAAGAAAAATTAAAAACTAATGTTGTGTTTCTGAAGTCAGTTCTAGGTCTGACCTAAAATGTACTCTATAATATGAACAACGAGGCTTGATGATTATTTAGTTCCTTACTAACCTGTAGGTACTGCTGCAGCTGGTACAGATCCTGTGCCTGGATCTGGATCACACTGGGAGGACCCATCTGTACATAACACAACACAACAATCTGGATCACACTGGGAGGACCCATCTGTACACAACACAACACAACAATCTGGATCACACTGGGAGGACCCATCTGTACATAACACAACACAACAATCTGGATCACACTGGGAGGACCCATCTGTACACAACACAACACAACAAATCTGGATCACACTGGGAGGACCCATCTGTACACAACACAACACAACACAACACAACACAACACAACAATCTGGATCACACTGGGAGGACCCATCTGTACACAACACAACACAACACAACACAACACAACACAACAATCTGGATCACACTGGGAGGACCCATCTGTACACAACACAACACAACAATCTGGATCACACTGGGAGGACCCATCTGTACATAACACAACACAACAATCTGGATCACACTGGGAGGACCCATCTGTACACAACACAACAATCTGGATCACACTGGGAGGACCCATCTGTACTTAACACAACACAAGAATCTGGATCACACTGGGAGGACCCATCTGTATACAACACAACACAACAATCTGGATTACACTGGGAGGACCATCTGTACATAACATAACACAACACAAGAATCTGGATCACACTGGGAGGACCCATCTGTACACAACACAACACAACAATCTGGATCACACTGGGAGGACCCATCTGTACATAATACAACACAGCAATCTGGATCACACTGGGAGGACCCATCTGTACACAACACAACACAACAATCTGGATCACACTGGGAGGACCCATCTGTACACAACACAACACAACAATCTGGATCACACTGGGAGGACTCATCTGTACACAACACAACAATGTCACAGTCTGGCTTAATCACATGGATTGATTAATGGTCATTTGACAGCTAGTTGTTAGCTGTGATTTCAATACGATTGTGACTTTATGAAAAAATAATCTGGCACACGTCAAATTGCCCAGGACACTCTTCAGTTTACACACAGGCACTGTGGCTCCTGCTCCTGAAGGTGCCACAGAAAAAACAATGCGGGACGTTTTACACGCAGAAAAAATGTGACATCCGACAGATCTATTTTGCCCTGTGTTAACCGGGCCTTTGTTCTGCAAAATAAAATTCACCAACATACCATTATCAAATACACGCACACACTGATCAGAAATATCTGCACAGCCCCAATTTTACCTGCACTAACATGAATATGCACCCAGCACATGTACAAGTATTTATATATAATGATATAGATGTGAACTGACCAGTGGCAGCGGTGGTCCCGGAGCCATGCCATTTCTTGGTTTGAATTCCGTGCCATCAGGGTTGTACAAGTGGATCTGTGCTATGATGCAGCCATGAGTCACTGTCATGGGAGAGAAAAACAGAGTCGGTCACTTACATGTCTGAAGTCAACAGACTTTACCGGTAGTTGGGCTTTTAAACATTGTTCCCACGTGTATCATATTATGACAAATGGAAAGAAAGGATGTCATGATAACACATAACACAAGATTTGATGCAAGTTAACTCCATATACATATTATACAAGATTTTGAATCAGTTATGATTTTGCTGGCTTTCCATACTTGCCTGGATCCCCAAATATGTTTTCTCCCAAGTTTGTCCCAGTCTGTCCCAGGTGACATGCACGTCTGTCCCAGGTGACAGGTACGTCTGTCCCAGGTGACGTGCACGTCTGTCCCAGGTGACGTGCACGTCTGTCCCAGGTGACCTGCACGTCTGTCCCAGGTGACGTGCACGTCTGTCCCAGGTGACGTGCACGTCTGTCCCAGGTGACCTGCACGTCTGTCCCAGGTGACGTGCACGTCTGTCCCAGGTGACCTGCACGTCTGTCCCAGGTGACGTGCATGTCTGTCCCAGGTGACATGCTTGTCTGTCCCAGGTGACATGCACGTCTGTCCCAGGTGACAGGCACGTCTGTCCCAGGTGACATGCACGTCTGTCCCAGGTGACAGGCACGTCTGTCCCAGGTGACATGCACGTCTGTCCCAGGTGACGTGCACGTCTATCCCAGGTGACAGGCACGTCTGTCCCAGGTGACATGCATGTCTGTCCCAGGTGACATGCATGTCTGTCCCAGGTGACAGGCATGTCTGTCCCAGAAATGCCCTGTTTGCAATCCTACGACGATTGCACAGCCCCCTGAGTAAGATATAATGTGCTGGATACAGTATGACAGTTATTGCACTGTACCTTTCCTGGAGTTTTCCATGACGTCCACTCCAAACTGAATGATATCTCCAGAGTGGATCTCGTGGGCTGGGCTCTCCTCAGACCCTTTACTCAGTCTCTGGTTGTTCACAAATGTACCATTGCTGCTCTTCGTATCTTGCAAGAAGAACTGTGAAATAAACAGGAAAATTAGAGATTTCAGACTGCTGGAAAGTGCTTTATGATTGTACAGTACCAAACCTGATGAGGGAATCGTATATCACACCAGATATGTTGCAAATCCTACCCCCTACAGTGGTGCAAACTAGATGGTTTTTCATACGCTATTTCATATGTTGCGGTCAGTGCCATGGGAAGAGATCAAGCCATGGGCAGACCCAACTCATACTAGGGCCATAGCGATCACAGTAGGTTGCTCAATACTTGTGTCAATAGGGAAAATTTTTGGGACTGAGAAAAAGCGGTCCCCATAGCTAATACTACTAGCACCAGCATACAATGTACATGTAACTTTTTGTTACATGTACATGTAAACACGTTACATACTTGTCCTAACCTAACCAGACCTTGTGAAAATATGTAGACAGCGTGCAAAATACCCACTAGTGTACTTGCGCAGTGCAAGCAGGGTTGGACAAGTCCTATTGCAAGTAAAAGCACTGTTCAGGCAAGGGAGTATCCCGCTGTACTTGCCCGATTGGGCAGGTAAATTTTTTGGATGTGGCATTATGACCTAGTGTTCGGAGCAGAATCACTCATTTCCCTATAATGTTATTGATGTCAGTCAAAAGTATGACTTTTTGTCAGAGAATCTTGCAAGTCTCAAAGCTCCTTACTTTGGGAAATACTGGTCAAGTATAAAACAATAAAAAAGTGCTTTTTTTACTGAAAAAATTTATTTCCTTGCAGTAAAAATGCATAGAAATATTCTTTTTATTTTGCATTGGGCAAGTGAAAAGCTAAAGGTTAGGAAAAGTATGTAACGTGTTTACATGTACATGTACATTGTTCACTCCAGGAACCTTTCAAAATCGCCATCAGGCGACGTGTTCTCCTGGATAAATAAACAAACAAACAAAAGTATATTTTGCTTGGTGCAACTTATTTCTAAGCTGAGGTAGCGCAGTGTGCAACGTATAAATCTTGCGGTAGGACGCCGCTTTTTCAGCAGGCGCTGGTTCTACAACAGTCAGGACCAAAAATTATCATACAGTGTAGGGGTGACCTGGACCGGTTTGGACCATAAAAATTTTATCGGTCCGGTCCGAAAAAGCTGAAACGTAGGTGGACCGTTTTTTTTGGACCGGAACCAAAATCCATACTTATTGTTAATGATGATCACTATATACAAGGAGGCATGCCAAGAAAATAAAAATCCAGCTTTAAAATAAAAGAGATTTACCTAAATTGTTTCCGTCTCTATCATTTTGCAACAACATTTTTCCATATTTTCGTTACCGATAGACATTTAGGAAAGGAGAAGTTAACTGGACCTGGACCATTGTCAGATATTGATTATGTAGATGAAGACCTAAGTTGCATAATTAATGGTACACACACCAATTCTTCCGTGACAGGGGTCCATGGTAGTGCGCGGTAAAAAATTGACGAAGGGGTTCCGATGGTTCATGTTTGAGTTCATATTTCTCATAATCTGCTGCAAAATGGCATTAACTACTAACATGGCTAGAAAGTGTAAGAAGTGGAGTGTTTTGGTGTGAAAATTGATTTCGGGCCCAAAGCTTACTTCCGGGTGGTCCTTCCGCCTTGAGCGCGGTGCTTCGGTCTGACCCAGATATGCCTTTTATGCGTTCTAGGGGTGCTGTCGCTATGCCTCGTGCGACGGGCTATTGTGATAATCTCAGTGTTAGGATTTCCTTATACTTTTCTTGATAATACATAAGGGTTTTCTCCTTCCGGCAATATAACTTTAATTAGTCATTTTGGTGGCTAAATTATGGGTGATGGGTTTAATTGCTCGTAAAAATGGCAAATTTTTGGGATTATTTTTTAATTCAAATATCCTTTTCCCACTAGAATTTGAGAGGTTAAAGAAATTGAAATTCTACTGTCCTCATACTCATAGCTAGAGCTAAGAGGGATATCCTTCATTTGCAAACACTGTGTTTTAGCTTTAGATTATTTCCTGAGAGAGACAGTCACTGGAGTTGAGGGTGTGTAGAATCGAATTGAGACCCAGACTAAACTGGGATGTGCCCCCTTAGTGGGAAATTGGTATAACTTATATAAGTTTATAGGCCACACCGACTTAACTCTGTGGATGACATCCTCTAAAGACCCCCAAACTAGTGCGCTCAGCCGAATAAAAACAATTCCGGCCCCCCAAAAATGCTGCTAAACCACAGGAAAATAAAGCTGATATTGTGAGTTTGCGGAAGTACATAGCGACATATATGACAAGCCGGCACATGCTGGCTTTCTGCGGAATTTATGAATCGGCACTGTAAGTATACTGAGTTCTTGAGTCGTAGAGCTACGGTAGCCTGGGTGCCCGTATTGTCGCTAACTACCATGGACTACCCAGGCTTAGAGCCAGGCCAGAGCCTCGGTGGATGAGATCTTTTTTTTTGAGAACAGGCAAAAATCAATGCGTGCGCGAATGTCATCCATAAAATTATGACCGTGTAGCCTTACTAACTGCTGGGAATTTAAGATGTCGGACCGGAGTTTCTTTCATGACTTTTGTATGCGACGGACACCCTCAGGCTGAAGGGCTACAATTCCACCAAGAAAAGGAGGCCAGGAAATCTCAATATGTCAGTGAACAGGCTTACAGCTGTTTTCAGCCGGCTTCCAATATTAGTTTGGTTATCGTCCGCTGCCTCTTATTAAACATAGTAAAATGTAAGTTTTGGACCAGAAAAATATCATTTTTTCACAGTTTTTTCATCGGAGCTGCCTGGACTTTTCTCAAGGTAATGGCTTTTATGCTGGAATATCTTACTACTTACTACCACCTAGCCATGGTGACTGATTTTATTTGGTCCAAAAAATTTTCCCCATTGACACAAGCCTTAAGCAACCTGTCCAAGGTGACCACCTGGTCAACGCGACCACAACCACCCCAATCCCAATACCTGCCCTTGGTGACCACATCATTTTTGATCATGTTGATTATTAACGATAACTTAATGAGAAATCATAGAGAAACCAGCCAGTTTTCCTTGACTGTTGGGTGATATTTTTGTTGGATGTAAATTGTGTCATGTGCCACCCTCCCCTTTTTTTGCACCACAGAACTGAAGATGCTTACAGCATTTGACATCAAAACATCCTGGAAACCATTTATGTCTCAGTTATGTTGTGAGGTGACCCTCTTCAAGGAGACCACTTGTCCAAGGTAACCACTTTCCTTCAGTTCCCTGTGTGGCCGGCTTGGACAGGTTTGACTGTATTTGGGTCATCAGGCGACAAATCACATCACCCTTGCACTCGGACTAATACCAAAAACGCTTCGCTGGCCGACCAACTTCACCATGCTGAACAACACTACTATCCCAAGTTTTATTGTCAATTCAAAACCAATTTCAAATCAAAATCTATAACGATCGCCAAGCTATGGGGTCAGCCAAACCTAGCCAACCTAGCAGATCCGCTGATTTACTATTTGGAACTCTGGTCAGATTGAAACCCTACCACGGAACCTTAATTAATATCATTTCTTAATTCACCGCTTTCCTTCAGTGAATACGGTGTCATAATTCATGGTTGGATCCTATAACCACCTCATAAACGACCTCGTCCACTCCGCGGCCTCAGTCGTTCATTCGGTGGTTATAGGATCCAACCATGAATTATGACACCGTATTCACCTCAGGGCGGGTCATTAACCCTATAATACTTGTCATATTTGAAAGTTAAGTGGAGGGGCACTAAACATAATTTATTCAATCAGGACCTAATTTGCATAATTTATGATAAAATGCTAGAATAGCTTTATTTCTTAAGATAAGACTGTAGATAGAGAATATGAACTGTTATGATTCAAGCAAATGAGGCTCTGATAAATTGCATATTAATCACTGTGAAAAAATGTCCAATTAGTTTAAACGATTAACATGATGAGACTATGATCAACTGATATCATCATACAAACTAGAGTTCCCCGATCTCATACCTTCGCCACATGATGTTCGTCTTTATTTTATTTATTTATTTATTTCAGCTTTATTACAACAAAATGTAAAAGGTTGGGGGAAACAGGAACATACTCCTTTTTAATGCCCCCACCAATATAAACTGATAAGGATTAGATAAATAATAAACAAAATAAACAATAACAGAAATCTGACAAATTCTACATTATTCCCCGATTGTGCAAATAGGATCCTCATTTTTATGAATTATATCAGCTTATTATACTCTCAACCAAATGAGTCTTACATTAAAACAATGCCATTCTAGCATTGCCTCATAAATTGTGCAAATGAGGTCCTGATTTGAATACATTATATTTAATGATGTTCACCTTCACTGAACTTTCAAATACCACAAGTATAAAATTCCAGGCAGTTATCATAACATAATTATAACATATTCTCATTAATTATGCAAATTAAGTCCTCAGTTAAATTATAAATATTTGCCTGTGTTTCTCTCGTTCTTAATTACCAATGTCACAAGCTTCAATAGTCCTATCATGGAATGCAGCTGATTTATATATTGTCCCCATAAATTATGCAAATAACATCCATATTTGCAAAATTATATCAAAACATAATTATATCAAGCACCACGTAAGCTACCTACATACCAAAAATCATGACGATCCGTCAACCGGTTCTTGAGTGATCCTCTTTTGAATATTTTCAATCAGATAGCCCTGCAGTTCCAGAGCAAGCCACTAGGGGGCCCAAACTTATATCACTTCTTCCCTAGCACAAGAGCTACCTGCCATTCAAATTTGTCACCCTAGCATGTCCAGATCATGAGATATAAAAACCGAGGTTCAGCTGCAGTACCATAACAAGTCGGTAGGGGTGCAAAATCTAATCATACTGAGGTCTCATCAAGACCTGCCACCTACCAAGTATCAAAACAATCCATTTAAGCCTTCTCAAGTTATCCTGTCTACAGACACACACACACACACACACACACACACGCACACATACAGGAACACCCCTGAAACGAAACCATCTTGGCAAAGGTAATAAGGCTCTTATTTTCAAAATCAATAAGAAAAATTCTTCAGTCAGATTTGGCTGGTTTGAGGTTTTAAGTTTAAGTTTTTAAGGTATGAGGTTGTGGAACTTGTTACCATTGCCAAGAAGGTTAAGTTTTCTGTAGTGTATATGTTTGTATGTGGTTTAGCATAATAACTCAAGAAGATTTAAATTGATTGTCATGAAACTTGGTGGGTTAGGTCTTGATGAGACCTAGAAATGATTAGATTTTGGGCCCCCTGGCAGCTCTCCTTCATACTGCAGTGGAACTTCTGGTTTTGATATCTTGTGCTCTGGACAAGCCGGAGTCACGAATTCTGTATGACTCTGGTAGCTCTTGATATCAGGAAGGAGTGACATTAGTTTGGTCTCCCTAGCAGCTTGTTCTGGAACTGCAGGACAGTTTGTTTAAAATCTCTGAGGATGAATTGTAAAAGTTGGTAAATAAATTGGCAAAAAAAACTGATAGAAAAAAAGGAATTCTGTGAATTGAGTGTGATACATCTGTGCATTTTTGGGGGAAACGGAGGGCATTTTTTTAGGGGAACGGACGAAAATTTATGGGCACGAGGATGTCAACCATATAATCAAGTCAGTGTGGCCTTACCTACATGTATCACAGAATTGGATGGTAACAATACTACAGTCAGGTTTGATGCTTACAGTCCTCAGTACATGTAACCAGGGAGGTAACACAGATGAGTTGTCATTGATAGTAATGTTCAACATGTGGACAAACTTCAACTTCTTCAGAAGAGCGGGGGATTGTCCAGGTACCAAGCCATACCGTATGTTTACAGGTTCCACATCTTACCAAACTCACCTTTGAATTTTCAAACCACAAGAGGGCATGGTTCCGGGACAGGACCTTGCAGTCGAAGATACAGTTATTGGGGGCGGGTCTGGCCCTGGCCACCGACCGGCCAATCTTCATGGCCTCCGTTAACAGAACCCGCCGCTCCTGGAAGGGATGCGAGTTTGGGCGGCACGTCAGGATAGCCATGGACGTCATGTTGGTGTCCTGCAGTCACGATCCTTCGTACAAAAATAGAGAAAACAGCCTACACACTGTTGGTAACAGACCGGACCACTGTGGCTATTTCCTCTTCCGGGATCCGCGACAGTGATGATGTTCACGACGTCGGCAGTCGTCAGTTTTACACCAGTAATCAAACAACCCTCGCAGTAGTTCCTTCACTATGTAAAATCTGGATCTGACAGTTTTTGTTGGAAGTCAGCACAAGTAAACAGAATCCCTGCGTCTGGACTTTGTTGTCTACACGTACAACATTGGCCGATAGCCACAGGCTAACTCCGCGCTCCATCCGGTTGGACAAATTGCCGTCGGTCGCTGACTGTTTTGGATGATGTTTTCCGTGTAGCGATTATCATTCAGACAGCGTCATTCTGTTCATAGGGTCGCACGATCTCTCTATTGTTTCGATAATTCCTTAGATTTTGGGAAGTATCGCCTGCGCCTGTTCCTGCAGTTGAAGTTGGCATTTGAGGTGATCCGCCATCTTGAAGCCGATGGTCGACTTTTACCTTCTTCACTTTCCACGTCAGTGGTGCCTTGGTGAGGTAAACACCACTCAAATCGAATAAGAGATGACCGTTGAATGATTCCACAGTATCGTGACCTAAGAGAAACTTCAGTGGCAAAACAAACGGGAGAAATTCGTGAGGCTTCCGTTCTTCAGTCGCAACGCAGACGCCATGATGGTTTGTTTTCCGTCGCAGTACGCACGCGTGGACGATACCATTATGACCAGTTAATAGGTAGGGCAGTGCCAAATCAAAGGGTTGGTGGAAAAAGCGGCCCAGTCCCACAGTCCCGACTGTCCAGAATGGTCTTGACTTACTTGACTTATGCCGTGTCCTGGTATCCCCGGCCTCGAGGGTCAGGGGTGTGAAAGCCGACCGACCTTCTCGCCCTGACAGAAAATGGTAGAATTATAAGCAGTTTGGTACCCAGCTGATGTCTAAGCTTGCCTTAGCCTCATTCGCTGACTTCTGATGCGAATTTTCTTCAGGGAGAGACGCGAGTTACTAGTATGCCGCGGAGGACGGTTTTGCCGCCGAGGGATTTTGCTTGGGAGAGACGGTTTCCGCGCATGAAAAACTTACATAATTAACCCTTTTAACAAAACAGTAAAACTTTGGTTTGTTTAGTAGAAAACCGACCTGAGGAAAACAACGTCAACAAGAATTCAGAGATCTCATACCTCCATGAAATATATGACTTTTGTAAATGTTTTTGTCTCATTGACTAAGGAAATAAGGTCGTGATAGCATAATCTAGTTCAATTTATGGTTTTTCATTATAAAACAATGGGCGTCCTAGCACCATTCTTACTTGTAACACACATTTAACTTATCCAAATGTGTCGTGGCGTGACTAAACTGGTTTCTTGCATAGGCGTTGTATTAGTGAGAACTTATGCTGAATTTTTCTATGTAACGTTATGGATATTATGAGAGAAATGAATTGCCTGGGTTTAATATTTATTGCAGATTTAGAAACGGCCCTTGACACGATTGGACTACTTTTTATCAAGTACTTTGCCTTAGGTTGAACTTGTTAGGTTGGACATCGGTAGCACAGCACCACAAACGAGCCAAGGCTATCTAAGGAATGTCACCTCCACACATCTCTCAACTATTCACAATCACAACATCTGCCAACATCTGCCAGGCAGATGTTGTGATTGTGAATAGTTGAGAGATAAATCACACGGTTGAGCTGCCCTGTACCCACACTCCCCACACATGTAGGGTTTCTCACCAGTGTGTTTTGCGAGATGTCTGTTCAAAGAAGATTTCTGTACTGCAGAAAAGTCACACTGGTCACATTTGTAGGGTTTTTCACCTGAATGTATTTTCATATGTTTGGATAAGTCAGCCTTTCGAGCTGCCCTGTACCCACACTCCACACACATGTAGGGTTTCTCACCAGTGTGCTTGGTGAGATGATAGTCTAAATAAGATTTCCGTGCTGCAGAATAGTCACACTGGTCACACTTGTAGGATTTTTCTCCAGTATGGGTTTTCATATGCTTGAATAAGTCAGACTTTTTACCTGTCCTGTGCCCACACTCCCCACACATGTAGCGTTTCCCACCGGTGTGTTCTGCTAGGTGTTGTGCTGATGCATATTCCCCATGATTTTCTCCGGTATGGCTGTTCATAGTAAAGGATGACTCGGGAGTTGTTTTAAAACTGCTCTCCTCACTCTTCAATGTTTTGTCTTCAGTTTCATCCATTTCTCTTCTCTGTTAGGAAAGAAACAGAAATCCAGAATAAATCAGGGCAAAACAATTTCTAACTAGAAAGGCCGACATTTGCTTAGGAGCAAATGCAGCATGGCTTCACCACATCCCCATACACAAAAATGTCCCTTCCACACTAATGTATTGTTCCTAAATCACCCCTGAATTGCTCCTCAATCACTCCTAATTGTGCCTAAATCACTCCTAAATCACTCCTAAATCCTCCTAATGTCAGAAATGCAAAAACACTCAGGGTCTTCAAGACTACTTTTTCTTTACTCAACAGTTAATATGATTTGTTGTTAATTTTCCATTTTGCTTTTAGACATTGATATGCAAATTCAGCTCCATTATTATTTATATCATTTGTCATATTTATTTCGTATGTTTTATGTAATTTATTAGTTTGTTCCGTTTCTTTTATCATTACCCTTTGATTGTACTCAATTTACCTTTTATTATGTTATGTTATGTATGTATGACACAGGGAGCTTTGAAAAGCGCCAAAATGGCGATATGCTAACCTGTATAAATAAATAAAAATGAAATTAGGTGACTCTTGTATTACTTAGATAAAAATTCTCTATAATGACATTTCTAGTAAACTTGATCATCATGGCTACATGATGTCTACATCTCTTCTTTACCTGTCCCGCGGGGTCCGACAAGGTTGCCCCATCTCCACACCAGGAGTTATCCTATCATAGGAGTTGAATTGCTCGAGAAATGAAAGTCTTAGATACGTTTGGCACTAAACCAAAATCTTTCAGTATGCGGATGACTCAAACTTTCCCTTTAGTTTAGGCCATATTGATCCCAAAACTGATTCGAGTGCGAATGAAAAAAAAGTTGCCTTCATTATAAAATCTACGTGGTCATAAAGATTGAACAAATGACACACAGAGTATGGAATAGCGAATACGAATTATAAACTCAAATTTCGTTTCTTCACATTTTCTTCTTTTCCGTTGGAATTGATTTTTGCCGCGGTCTACAACGTTAGCCGGCCAGATGATCGTTTTCAAACATTTGGTTTTTTGCTCACTTTGCAACAGCGCGCGTCGACGTCATCCTGGCCTTACTCCTGGCTTTAGTTGGCTCCTTTAGGCAAATATTTTCGCGCGTTAATTTTCGCCTGATTTTGGGGACCAAAAAAAAGTGAAATGTAAGTTGCCCTCCGAGAGGGATCTGCTTGCTGCGGTCGGCAGGAGATCACGTGATATATTGTTTACTTCCGTGATCAGCTGATCGGCTGCAGGCCTGTGATGATGTAATCAGCAGAGGAACCGCTGACGACGTCAGATTACCGACAGTCAGTCTAGTGTCGTTCTGACACTCATTGTCTCTAGATCGGGGACGTTGTTATATGGGAACTATTTGGGATTGGATCACTCGTCAGACTTGAAAATATCCACCGAATACAGGAACTCCCTGCTGCTGGCCCAGTCGTTATTTTGGTCAACAGAAAAAAACGGCGAGAGACGAAAACAATTATAACGTTACTGGTCAAATATCTTATAGGTAAGTCCTCACGTGCTCCATCTGGAACCTGTACTTAATCTTGCACGTATTGACCGCAGTGAGCTGCCACATTGAGGTGGTGATGTTGTCTCACTGTTTTGACTTGGTGATTTTAAGCACTTAACGTTGAATTATTTGCAAAAACAAGATTTAAAGCTCATTGTCTCAACAGGAGTGACAGTTGGACTAGCTGAAGTTAAACTTGAATGACTTGACCACAAAATATAAGATTTTCATGCCATTAACCTTTCAGAAATGACAATAAGCAATTGTGAAGTACAGAGATATAACATGTTGTGTGATTATCAATGGCTAACCTGGCAAACTCACCTTTGCCCAGGGCTAGGATTAATGCTTTTATGGCCAGGCGAGGGGGTCATAAACTGGTGTGTTCATGAAAAGACATTGTAAATGTACCAGGGATTAACACTTAATATCCACATGTACCACATCTTATATCTGACAGAGATGTATTTTAGGTAAGGTATGACTGTAACAGGTACATGGTTTTGTGAGGTACAAAGATCAAGTAATACATGTAAGGCCACACCAATTTAATTTCTTGCTTAACGGATTTTTCTAGAAAAATAATGGAGCGGGCGGGCGAAAAAAAAAAACAGGCCTAGGCATCCTATTATGGCCCAAAATGGTACGATAGGAGCCATGAAGTCAACACACCAGGCTGGTTCAAAATTTCAATAATGAATTTTGAACTTTTAATGATACCACTGCATTGAAAGATGGAATAACTGTAACAACTAGGAAGAAAAGACTGTTTTCAACTGTTCAGAGCAAAATATGAGCATTTTGCAGTTGATTCTAAATTTCTATTTTTATTTGCAAATCAGAAAAAAAAATGAAGCGGGCGAATCCGTTAACCAAGAAATTAAATTGGTGTGGCCTAATATGAACATAACAGTTACATGTAATACGAGTAGAACTCCATGATGGTAGATGTCCCTTTCCACTCATGGCCACCCCCTCTCTTTCATGCAGGTGAACTTGGTGAAGCAGTTAGGGCACAAAGAACGGCGTCATAATGCCAAGGAAGGCAGTGGTCCTTTTCTTGACCATAGCAGTAGTTGGAACTATTGTAGTGACCTACTACAATGGTTTACCAGCCAGACAGATACTACATCTTTTTGATTCGTCAGTAGTGGAGAATTTTGACTATTCTGAAAGCAAGACAGTATCCTTTCATGGTGGGAAACACGAGAAGGGGCACAATGCAGACGTGGATGTTTCTGTGACTAACAGGACTACTCAAGAACCATACCAAAAATGGGTACCAAAAGCCCTCACTCATTCACCAACAGCACTGGTATTGAAGAGAAAAGGCATCTCAATGGAAGAATTTAGGAAGACCAGATATTTACGTTTTAATCAGACGGCACCGCCATGGTTCTCCCGTGCTGATGTGGAGAGGTTGATATTTCTGGCTACAGCAAACATTTCCCATGTCCTCCCCCACCCCCACGCTTCCCTCAACCCCATAGTGTTTGATGACAATAGTGACAAGACGCCGCAGATCTCAGACACCGAACAGTGTGAATCTCAATGTGGCTTATTAAAAAGTGCCCTGGACATCTATGAGGTGCTTTCCTTCCACCTGGACCGTGTTCTCGGTCTGAACAGGACATTACCCGCTATCGCCAGAAAGTTCAGTGGACTTTCCCAGCTGGGCTACCGTTTCCGTGACGGTAAGGCACGCCCACTCATCTGGTGGGACCCCGACATCGCACATGGCGGAAAGTTCCAGAATGATCAGGTCCGGATATTAATTGGATATTTTTCACTTCTGCCATGTAAATCATTCGATAATTTTCATCGTTATCAAAAGATCCATTCGTTGATCGCAATTATGTTATTGCATATTTTCAACTGGCATAGTGGCAGCATAGGGTGTTTTGTCAACTCACAGTCCTACAAACACAATGCATTGTGTTCAGGGACTGCACAGGACACCAAGCATTCAAAATGTTATCTCCTCTTTCAAAATGGTCACATTAGGCATTAAGATTCCTAAGATGGGTTTTGAAGACATGTAGTGGTGTGTTGTAGTAGATTATCACAAGACTTTAGATTTTCCAGCAACTTTTAAATCTTTCAGATTTTTTTTGTACAAATGATCCTTGTTCACTCCCATGGGAGTGAACAAGGATAACAGAGATGGTGACTGTTGGAGCAAACACGTTTATGTCTGTTCTGTTTTGTTCCTCTGTCCTCCTGCCCCAGAACTCCCTTGAGCTGAGCTGGCTGAACTACACGACTGTTCTAAAGAACCGGTGCTGGGCAGATGGGACCACTCCTGACCCAGAACAGTTCTGCACTCCCATCAAGCATATTGAGTGGAGCAAGCTTGCTATGTTTGACTTCCTACTGCAGGTGAGAATGACACTCAGTCAGGAAGCACAGGATATCATTTGCAGAACTGTAGTGTGAGACCACAAGTAGAACTGTAGTGTGAGACCACAAGTAGAACTGTAGTGTGAGACCACAAGTAGAACTGTAGTGTGAGACCACATGAAGAACTGAAGTGTGAGACTGTGCATATATGGGATGACATGTAAATTAGTGATCTGTACTGTATTAGGGATAGAATCAGGCCCGGCCACTTGTTGCACATGCCACTTGTTGCACATGCCACTTGTTGCACATGCCACTTGTTGCACATGCCACTTGTTGCACATGCCACTTGATGCGCATGCCCAAAACGTCCCTAATGGTGTTTCTCTCTTTGACAAAAGCTCATCTGCATAGTTGTTGAAATTAAACTTTCTTTTAAAGGTAGAACAACCCTTTGTTGTATCTAAAAGTTGTCTACGCAAAACGTACTACTTTGAACACGGCCTGAAGTTGAACTGGATCACCTGACAGGCTGTGAATAGTTTCATCAGGTTGGTAAGTCACTGAGTAGAGACTGTTTTTACACAACCAAGTCTTTATTCAGCTGACGTTTCGATGACCGTCTGTCACCTTCCTCAGGGCAATTCTGACTGGTTCATATTGCATTGCAGCACAGGTGTCGCTGCTATAGATGCATTCCCAAACGTACAATATTTACATATCTACACATATGCGTGGTTACAAGGAGCTTGATCTACCATGGCAACTCTTACTTCTTAAGAATGCGGTCCCAAATGTGACTGAGTCTGTACCCCCCCTCATCCCGGTTCATGACAGGAGTAGATTTCCTGATCCATACAGACTCCTTACTCCAACGTGTACATCTATTGTTTATTACTCTGGCCCCGTCCCAGTCTATTACACTAGTTTATTTCTCATGATGTTATCTGTCAGTGCTGATTCCTTCTCTGCTTCCCTCTTCTGTGCCCTGGTGTACCTCCCCACCTTGATGTTCTCTGCATCCTTCCTATGTTCTTCAAGTCTGCATCCAAATGTCCTCCCCGTTTCTCCATTATGATGTAAACCTTATTGCAGCCGAGACAAGGCATTTTGTAAACACAGACTGTCTTCACTGAGTCGTGTAGTTTGTCTTTCAGATGTACTTCTAGCAGGTTTCTTTAGCCTGGTTGCCATCCGATTTGTAACAAACTTTGTAGTTACAAAGAGAGGGGGCTTGCTTGTTGTGCTCCATCTCCATTTGTCTGTCTGTTTCTTCAGTGACTACTGTCTTATCTTACATCTGTCCATCAGTGTTCTAATCACGGTAGAGAGGGTGGTCTGAGTGGAAGTTTAGATACTGATCTGTGTGTGTCTTCTTCCTGTGTATCATTAGTTTTACTGTCCCGTCTTGTTTCTTCACCAGTGAAGTGTCCAGGAATGGCATAGTACTGTTCTCTTCCATCTGTTTCATGTGTAAACTTGATTCTCCCTGTTAAATCAATGGTGTTAAGGTGGTCTGTCATTTCTTGTTTATATATAGCTCCCTTTTTCAAAAGTTCTAGCACGTCATCCACATAGCTGAATAAAAGACCTGGTTATGTAAAAAGAGTCTCTTTACACAAGAAGAAAGAAGACTTTTTACATGAAACTTGCTTTCATGCTGATCTATCTGTGACGTGAATAGATCTGCTCTTTTCTTAATACTCATGATACAAGCACTTCATTTGACTTCCTTCTCAGCCAGCCCATGAGCTCTGTCTTATGCCATTTTTATAAACTTAAACTTGTACAACATTCAATACAGGTCTTTGACCGCCTAGATCGCAATTGTTGTGGATTCAACGAGACATTAGAAACTGAAGAGGAAGCATGTTTTACAGGTACAACATCATTTATGGATATTTTTTTATTATCCATTTAGTAGTAGTAGAAGTGTTGGGGGTATTTGTTCCCAGGGAAGGATAATTCTAAAGTTTTACCCTTCTGGAAAGAATTTACAATTAATGAACCAGCCAGGGAATTATAGGTGTAATGTTTTGGGAACACATGTTGGATCATCGTAAAACATAATATAAACTCTCTGGCACTTTTGATCAATTGCTTATGTCACGTATCAGTAAAGTCTCGTGTGGATAAGGTCACGTGTTTGTAAACCGTAACTCTCGCGAGATCACGTTGTGAAGTGATTGGTCATTAATTATCCTGATGAAGGCGACAGTGGTCATCGAAAATTTGATCGCTCTGTAACCCTTGTGTTGGAATAAACTTCAATGTTTTACTATGATTACTACCAACACAGATGAACTTTGATGAAATTCATGATAACATGTTGGATCCTTGTGCTAACTGATGAAATCCTGTCATGTCCTCTCAGACGGCAGGCACCTTGAGTGTAAAACCCCAGACGTGCTGATGCTGGTACATATGCTGACTCGGAATTCAGACCGGAGCCGTCTTGTCTACATTGACAATGCAGGGAGACCATTTCGGTCCAGGAAAAACCTAGACTGGCGGTTACTACAGGGCATAGACCAGTAAGTACTGTATCCTCTCAAGGATGTTAGAAATATGGGAAAACTGAGGCTCCTTTGCCTCCTTGATCTGATCTAGTCTCCACCAGACTTCTTTGCGGGCTGAATAAATCGTAGAAATCGGCCTAAAAAGGGTATTAATTGGCCAGAGAAGGTAGCCGGCCAGAGAAGCTCCATTGCCCCGCCAAAGTCTGTCATATTTCGCTATCCTCTTTGAAGTCCACAAATCGGTTTTAAATAGGTGCGAAGTATCCAAGTAAGCTGTTTATTGCTTTGCTTTGGCGGGGCAATGGAGCTTCTCTGGCCGGCTACCTTCTCTGGCCAATTAATACCCTTTTTAGGCCGATTTCTACGATTTATTCACCCCGCAAAGAAGTCTGGTGGAGACTAGATCTGACACATGTAACTGAGAAAGAGAGAAAAATCAACAGATATAAATAATGGAACTGAAAAGTTAAGTGAGAAAATAGTATATAATGGTAAATGCTTGTGTAATTGATAATGAACTGCTACAATAGCCATTAGCATTCTTTGTTGATATGAGAGTTATTGAACAGCTACTGTTATTTGGATGGCGATGATCAACTGGCATGATTTATGCAAATGAGGACCTTAGTGACGCTGAAGAAGAGTGGTGGATGTCACTTGAAATGTCCGGATATTATCTCATCATAATCTATCCAGTAGTAGAGTTTGAATTTCCTATGAGGACCTTAGTTAATGTTACATGATCAATTCATAATAGTTGAGCGGTAAAACATTTTGGGAAGGTATGAGATGATGGATAATTAGATGAAATGTGAAAATGGAATTTTGCCAAAGGATAGAACTTTCAAACATACAATAATATGTCATTTGGGTATACATAGCAAAGATTGTATATTATAAGACTAAACAAGTTTACTAAGCCTCGAAATATCTCACTGACGTACTGTATCTTGTCATGCACATGTAAGCCTAAGGCCACACCAATTAAATTTCTTGGTTAACGGACTTGCCACTTCATTTTTTTCTGATTTGCAAATAAAAAAAAAAATTCAGAAGCAACTGCAAAATGCTCATATTTTGCCCTAAACAGTTGAAAACAGTCCTTTTCGTACTACTTGTAACAGTCATTCCATCTTTCAATGCAGTGCTACCATTAAAAGTTCAAAATTCATTGTTTAAATTTTGAACCAGCCTGGTGTGTTGACTTCATGGCTCCTATCGTACCATTTTGGGCCATAATAGGATGCCCAGGCCTGTTTTTATTTTTTTTTCGCCCGCCCAATCCATTATTTTTCTAGAAAAATCCGTTAACCAAGAAATTAAATTGGTGTCACCTAACTACATATAACCTGTGATATCCATGTCTGTCCTCAGGTTTCCCGAGGGCCCGATCGCCCTGCTCAGGGACCCTGCCAGACTCCGCCGCAGTCTCCTGCAGTCCTTGTATATTGACAGGACGTTCTGGAAGTCTGTAGGGACCAAGACTGCACTGGAGGTGGTACAGAATGTCGTCAACAGAGGGCAGCTATTAGTCAAGTACATAGACAAATACAATATCGCTGTGGTGCCAGATTATTAACTAATTGTATCACTTTAATTAACCTCTTGAATTGGTACAATTGAAACAGTGTATTGAATCGTGCAATTATTGACAAAATGGTGAAAAGAAAATAGTAGATTTGACAAGTGTAAATATATTTTTTGAAATGTTGTCATCAGATATGCAGTATGTTGTTGCTTGTCTTCAATATTGACATCTTCAAACAGATACAGCTGTTTCACATTTAGCACATGCCCAGATGCAGCTGGACACTGAAGAGGAATGAGAGGTGGATTTGGGAATGACAAAATATGATACATGTTTCAATACAGTTAATGTTACATGTAGAAATATGGCCCAATGAGAACAATGCCCGTTGACAATGGTAACATTTTATCAGTGCCAAAAATGAAGCTTTGAACTCAATTTGAAAAATGAATGCCGATGATATCCGTTTGACTGGGGATTGTGAAGAAATGATCAAAGTCTTCTCAAAATAAGAAGGAACTGAACTATTTCAGAATATTTTCTAAAAGCACTTTTTTTTATCATTTTAGTAATTTTGTCAAAACTTCCTGTACTTGTCAATGATACCTCAATCCAAATATATGTTACATGTTTTTCAAAATGTTGTTTTGATTCCTGTTCACTCAGTTGTCAGTAGAGATGGTCTGGTTTTTCACTTCTGTCTCTCTTGATGTGATAGTATGACTTTGATCTCATTTCCTTACACTTTGCACTGCTGATTCTTTATTGCACTCACCTTAACTGTTCCTCTCAGTAAATAAAGAACTCAACTTAAGCTCCTGTTCTGTATAACAGGAGTGTTCTGACTAATTGTATTATCTTGTCTGACTTTTGTTCCCTTTTCTACTTCCAAAAATTTATCGTCACTTTATTTGCATATCAATCAATAGTTTGTGCTTATAAACCTGCATTTCCCCTCTGGTCTCTCAGTCACTGACGAAAGCTAGTGGATACTAGCTGAAATGTCTGACGTTTTCAAAATCATATCCAGTTACTTGATAACTGCTTTTTGGCGAAAAGAACTCAACTCTATAATTCTACCAGGTACCCACTACTGTCACATATTAAAATTAGACAGTGTTATCAAGGCACTTTTGAGACTTTAATCGAGAACGTCTTGCACCCCTGGATATCTGAGTGTGCAGGCTGGGGATCATTACTGATGCTGCGTTTATCAGATCTCTTTAAATTCATCTTTATGTGGCAGTTTTATGGTAGACTATCAAGAATGACCTTACAACTGTCATCACCTAGACTGGGATGACAAAGGTCAATCCCACAGGTACCCTTGGACAGCCTGTACTATTACTATCAGAATCACCCTTCTGTGTTAACAATTGGTGGACAGTTGAACAAGGAGATACACTGGGAACTGTGAGAGGTTTAATGTTATGTAAGGCTGCCACTTATTTGATTTTCTGGTGTCAGGAATTTGTAGGAAGTACATGTGAATGAAGCAGTGTAGCCTGGGTACCATCCAGATTTTCGCTCCACAATGCTCTAAATTTTCGAGCGTTGCGGAGCAAAAATCTGGATGGTACACAGGCTAGCAGTGAGCCAACATCAGTCATTTCATACACATTTTTTCTTCAATGGATTTCATGATAGTGATACATGAAAATACTCAACAAAAAATTGATAGTTTTCCTGAATTCTACGTGAAGTTACAGATGTTGAGGAATCTTGTAGCTGATTTAGGGGTGACTTTTCACCGTAGAATTATTCCCTAGAAGAGATGGTCACTAGACCTTAGGGTGAGCAGCCTCCAATGGAAAGCCGAAATAAACTGTGGTGTGCTCCCTTAATTCAAACAATGAATTTTAAAATATTACATGTAATTGAATAAAAGACAAGGACTTTCTTCAACTGTTCACTGATTTGGGACCTAAATGTCATGTTTTTTTAATCAGAAAAATGAAAAAAAAAATCAAAAACAAGAACTTCATCATATACCCATCACGGTGCAATATTGGTAGTCTCGCTCTGAGCCCTTTTGATACAATTGTTGTGGATTTCTGGGAAATATACTGGAAACGAAACGCAGAATAAATAATTAAGTGCACCTACTTATCCGGATAAGCACGTTATGCTTCTTCACGATCACCAGATAGTTCTATAGTGGTACACAAATGTTAGAGTTGTCTACACCTGTGCTATCAAAACCTGTTAGTGTCTGTATCGAATCAATAGGAAGACAAGCTCTTCTTTATAAGTTACACCAAGCAACTATTTTATACAAAAACTGTTTAAAACAAAGCAGCATGAAAGAAAACCGCCAAGACTCCAGGCTTGGTTTCAGTATAGCTGTTAAGCTGTAGTGCAGTCGTCAAGAAACTTCACAAATTCCTCCATCGTTTTGCTGTTGCACAATACAACTAGTAAGATCAAGTGAAAAATGTGGAATACAATACTTGGGACCATTCATTTATGAATATCTTTTGGCATGTGTATGCTGACGGTACATTCTGAAAATTATTTTATTATGCTGCTTTTCGACAAGAGCCAATCATCTCATGGACTGTCTCATAAACTGTTCTGACCAGGAACAAGGCTGCTGCAGGGCATATCGGTATTTTTGGATGTGAGAGTCCTGAAGCTTTCTTTTATGAGATAAGAAGATGTATTAGGAGAATACGATGCAGAAGATGGGTATGAGTAGGATGAGACATAATATAAGTAGGAGGCAGGAGATGGGCAAGGGAGAAAAAGATGGGTAGGCGAAAGAGGAGGGAGATGGGTAAGAGGCAGGAGATGGGTAGGGGCAAGAGGAGGGAGATGGTTAGGAGTAAGAGTAGGGAGATGGTTAGGAGGCGGGAGATGGGTAGGAGAGAGATGGGTAGGACCGTAGGAGATGGGTAGGAGTAAGAGCAGGGAGAAGGGTAGGAGGAACGGATGAGCTGAAAGAGCGGGAATAGGAGGAAGTGTAGGCACAGGTTCTGGCGCAGGAGCTGTCACAAGTGCTGGAGCTGGAACAGGTGCAGGAACAGGTGTAGGTTCTGGGTGCAGGTGCAGGAACAGGTGCTGAAACTGGAGCTGGTGATGAAACTGGAGCGCTCTTCTGGGTACTCGATGGTGGATCCAGTTCACGAACTGTTAAGTACTGGAAGGGCACGAAAAAAAATCACAGAACTCACAGATTGAAAATGCCTCGATTTAATATAAAGAAATTCATGATACTGTACAATATTAGTAGTCACGTTCTAAGGCTTTTACATACAGCTGTTACGGATTTCTGGAAAATATACTAGAATCAAAACGCTGAATAGATAATAGTGCACCTAATCATACTACATACGTCAACACAGTTTCTATCTAGTATAGATACACGTATTTCAGAACAGTAAGATTAGTAACTAATCATGTTAGGTAGCAAACATCAAACGTTTTTGGAAGTTACAATGCTTCTTCATGATCAGTTCTTTAGTGGTACACAAATGTTATAGTTGTCTACACCTGTGCTATCAAAACCTGTTAGTGTCTGTATCGAATCAATAGGAAGACAAGCTCTTCTTTTTAAGGTACACCAAGCAACTATTTTATACAAAAACTGTGCTTAAGATAGTTTAAAACAAAGCAGCATGAAAGAAAACCGCCAAGACTCCAGGCTTGGATTCAGTATAGCTGTTAAGCTGTAGTGCAGTCGTCAAGAAACTTCACAAATTCCTCCATCGTTTTGCTGTTGCACAATACAACTAGTAAGATCATGTGAAAAATGTGGAATACAATGCTTGGGACCATTCATTTATGAATATCTTTTGACATGTGTATGCTGACGGTACATTCTGAAAATTATTTTATTATGCTGCTTTTCGACAAGAGCCAATCATCTCATGGACTGTCTCATATACTATTCTGACCAGAAACAAGGCTGCTGCAGGGCATATCGGTATTTTTGGATGTGAGAGTCCTGAAGCTTTTCTTTTAATAAGATGGATAAGGAGAATACGATGCAGACGATGGGTATGAGTAGGATGAAGCAGAAGATGGGTAAGAGTAGGAGGGAGATGGGTAGGAGGCAGAAGATGGGTATGAGTAGGATGAGGCAGAAGATGGGTAAGAAGATGGGTAGGAGGAGGGAGATGGGTAGGAGTAAGAGGAGGGAGATGGGTAGGAGGCGGGAGATGGGTAGGAGGCGGGAGATGGGTAGGAGTAAGAGGAGGGAGATGGGTAGGAGGCGGGAGATGGGTAGGAGGCGGGAGATGGGTAGGAGTAAGAGGAGGGAGATGGGTAGGAGTAAGAGGAGGGAGATGGGTAGGAGGAGGGAGATGGGTAGGAGTAAGAGGAGGGAGATGGGTAGGATGAGGCAGAAGATGGGTAGGAGTAGGAAGATGGGTAGGAGGGATACGGATAAGCTGAAAGTGCGGGAACAGGGTTAAGTGCAGGCGCAGGTGCAGGTGCTGGCACAGGTGCAGGTGCAGGCACAGGCGCAGGTGCTGGAACAGGCGCGGGTGCTGGTGCTGGCACAGGCGCAGGTGCTGGAACAGGCGCAGGTGCTGGAACAGGCGCAGGTGCTGGAACAGGTGCAGGTGCTGGAACAGGTGCAGGTGCTGGAACAGGCGCAGGTGCTGGAACAGGCGCAGGTGCTGGAACAGGCGCAGGCGCAGGTGCTGCTGGCTCTTTTGGGTACTCATATGGTGGATCCAATTCACGGACTCGATCCTTTCGTGATGCTTCCTTTACAGGCACACCATGAACAGTCTGGAAAAACATTGTATTGATATTATTAGCTTTCATATGCTCAGTATTGAATCTGTTGGGTTATGATATGGCAGTAATTTTCAATTATCGGAAAAGTAGAAAATGTATTCTTTTAGAATTCCACTGTAAACTGCCCCATCACAGGTTTTCTGTATGTCCAAAGGTTGCACTAGGAAAATCTTTCTTTAAGTTAAAATATGCAAATTAGCTGTACAGATTCTTTTTTTTAACTTCTTTTCTTTTCACTTTTCACAAAGCTGGTCAGAAAAGAAAAAAGGCCCATAGTATTACCTCCATGAAATGTCATGGAGGTTATATTTTCAGCTACGTTTGTCATTCTGTCTGTCTGTCTGTCTGTTTGTCAACAAGTAACTCAAGAACGGCTAGATGGATTGATTTCATACTTTGTGTGATGAAAACTGGAAACGATGAGATTTTTGGCCCACTAGTGGTTTCCCTTGGTACTGCAGAATAACTTCTGGTTTTGATATTTCGTGATCTGGTCATGAAGTTTGGTTTGTTTAATTATGTCTGAGAGAGGATAGAAAAAAAAAATTTTTTAATTTTTGATATGTAGGTAGATTAAGTGATGCTTAACATAATTAAGTTACAAAATTACATTATCAGAATCTAATTTGTAGAATTTTAAAAGAAAAGAAGAAAATTCTATATTTCTGCTGTGTTCGATAACAGGGCTAGGAAACATTTGTGACATGTAATTGAGAACGGCAGGGACAAATTGGCAGATATTACTGAATCAAAAACCCTAATGCTATTGAATGATTTGAATCATTTGCAGCCATTGCTATATATGTATTTGGAAATCTACCTCTGGTACGGTTCTTTTGTTTTCTCATTTGTGGCCGTACTCACCAGGACGTGCATCAGTAGCACCGACAGAATGAACCCTGCTACCTTCATCCTTGCAGTTCGAGGAACTCTGAAAAACAAGAAATCGGAGATTTCAAACTTCCGGTAAGTAGATATGTTTCGTAGCTGGAGATGGATGATAAAGTTTATGTCCTATGCTGTATGTGAAGACCATGTAGACGACAATGACGGATCCGTCTGTACGCTAGCACAATGTATCGTTATGAAATGGAATGATGTTTGATATGCATTTGCCGATTGTATAATGTACGTTGTCGTTACACCGTGGTTTTTATTTAGATATATTACACCATGATTACAATGTACAACCTGTTAGTTTTGCGCAGTTAGTCGTAGTCCCTTGAGACTGACTGACAGAGTACATACATGTATTCACGAGGACAGTCTCAGATGTTAACAAAAAAGACTTTCTCTAAATTATGGAACTGAGTTCCTGTCTGGAATAAGTTTAGATAAGTTGTGTTCTGCCCTCTCGTTCTCAATTAACGTTACATGTGACGAATTTGAATAGTCCATGTACATGTACTATGGAACACAACAGATATGATTGATGGGTAGTGACTTCGTCAACTAACCAGGATGGTAGCCAGGCCAGACAGCTCACTCACCCCCCCCCCAAATCACTGCAGCGCCGCCCCAAATAATAATAGTAAAATAATAAAAGTTTCTAAAACTATGTCCGAAGGGTTTGACTTCTCTCTTGTAAACCATGGAAGACGTAATGTCCTACCTTCTCTAAAATTTGTGGGTTTTGGGAAGTTAAAAGAAGAATGGTTTTTTTTGTAAGTTTTGGGAAATTGGGATAAAATAAATAAATATAACAAGGGTTGTTGTTTCATATCATATCCCTCATATCCCAACACGGCCAAAGGAACAAAAATCAACTTTAGTTACTACGCCCTACAAGGAAGTTTCGTCAGCCCCATAGCTGGCTTAAGGCAGCTTTAGAATTACAGAAATACCGTATTTCCCTCAGTCGGACTGCGTACTGCGTTTAAATTTCCCGGACAGATCGGAAGATCGGAATCTCAAACAAGGTAGGAGCTCAGTGGAACAGGAAAGACCCGAAAAATAAATGTATATGATGGAAATAGAATAACTTTCGCGAATGTAAATAAAAAAATTAACGCAGTACGCAGTCCGATAATCTTTAATTGCATGTTCATGCCCATTTAATTAAAACCGACCGACTGTTGAGTCAAGCCTGCCCATTTTCAAGCACTAATCATCTAATGGCCGAAAGACGACCGCATGTCGAACCCGACTACGACCAGCTCAGCACGGCTCCGGTTTTGATTAAGTCATCAAAGGAGTGAAATTGAGTTTAGATGTGACACATGAGTGAGAGTGAGAAATTCGAAGCCATTCGAACAAATCTAAAGCAAAAATCAAATACGCAGAACATTTTCCGTCAAACTGCCTATGTTTCCAGCGAAATATCCAAAGCGAGAAATATAGTACTACGATGACACAGGCCAACTGTTCGGCGCTATGGCCAGTATGAGTTTCTTCCGCCAGAGCATTTCAAACAACGAAACCAGGCTTTTCGATTCCCAAAGAGCGATTTGATTAAAAGGAACGGGACATCATAAATATCTTGAAGATTATCAAATACTTTTCAGCCAGACATGTGTACATATACATGTACAAATACATGTACATTATATCTCTCTATATATATGCCCGACTTGTAACATCCTATGACATAAACCTGTAAGGTCTATAGAAAAAAAAATATATATATACAGCGTCACAAAATGTATCAAGATACAAGCGTGAAGCCACTAATCCACAAAAGTCAGCTGAGATTGATGCCCGCCAGGAGAAAATAATTGTGGCCAGTGTCTACCGCAGTTTCTTCCCTTCTCAGAAGGGGGTTTCCTCAATTTAGTCCAAGATACTGAATGTTGTTCTCATTATCGGTGTAGATTAGACCTTACAGATTTAGGTCACAGGATGTTACAAGTCAGGCCTGTTACAAGTTGTGCAATTTCTTGGAAAGCTTGAGCTGTTCCTGAGAACACCCCGGGACAGTTTCTTCTAACTCAAACCATCCCGTCTGTAAATAATCTACTTCCCAGTTCCAGCTGCCTGCTGATTGGTTCCAAGTTACCCCAGAACGGGTTGCTCCAGATTCTGGACTAGCCTCTACCAGGCTTCGGGAGGCGGCTGGAAATGAGTAGAAATTGGCCAAATAGAGAGATAACATGACAGGGGAGTTTGGTCCGTGGAGAGAACAGTTCGCCGCTCCCGAACCAAACTCCCCCGGCATGCTATCTCTCTATTTGGCCGATTTCTACTCATTTCCAGCCGCCTCCCGAAGCCTGGTAGAGGCTAATTCTGGACGCCAATGCGATCAGTGAGCGACAGGGATAGTCCTTGAAAAAACCTTGAGAATCCCTGTATTCACATTATTTCAACAGAGCCTTCTCCAATTTTTCAGTACCATACTTCACATCATGAATTTGAAAAATTTAGCTCTAAAACAACCCCATTTCTCCGGCATTAATTTAGAAAAACGTTTAGAAAATCACGATCAGAAAAGCAGGTTCTTTTTAGTTCAAGATCTACTCTACTCAAGGACATAAACATCAATAAATCATGACTGACGGCTGTAGACATCTCTCCAGGATAACAAACAAACAAACATTTGGTTCAACCACAGCTACTGAACCGTCACGGTGCCCGGATGGGCGGAGCTGGAATGGGCAGTCTGTGCTTGATGACATGATAGATGTTTCACCGAATGTTGCCAGGTCCGGCTTGTTTTCCGACCATTTTCCATGGCTAGCTATTTGCGGCCGCCTTATAATTTCCACCAGTCACAGTATGTCTATTTAGTTAATAGCGCTACTCTCTCTGTAGCGACAGAAAACGGGGCATATGAGAAGAAGAGTCACTATCTTCTAGCCTCTACCAGGCTTCGCGAGGCGGCTGGATAGAGTAAAAATCGGCCAAATAGAGAGATAACATGCCAGGGGAGTTTGTCTGCTGGGAGAGAATATTTTGCCGCACCCGAATTAAAATGTTCTCTCCCAACAGACCAACTCCCCTGGCATGTTATCTCTCTATTTGGCCGATTACTACTCTTTCCAGCCGCCTCCCGAAGCCTGGTAGAGGCTATTACTATCTTCCCCACCAACCTTAGGAGAGCGCAAACTGTTACGATATTTACGTCACTACTAGTTCAGAACTTGTTAAACATTGAAGTTGGTGGCACCGGGTTTACCACAAAGGCATTGAATATTGATGAAACAAGTATCAAATGAAAAAAAGAAGCTATGATGCATCAACGACGCTCCATGACCGGTTTAAGTTCAAAACACGGTACTCAGAGAAATACAATCGATAATCTTGCAATCGAGAACTTTTTGTGTTGGATTTAAAGTTTTAACTCTAAACGCAGTTGGTTTTAGGCTGGGTACCATCCTACTTGTATGCCGGGGCTCCCACACTCGCTTCCCTTACAATTACTGTTAGGGAAGCGAGTGTGGGAGCCCGGCATACAAGTAGGATGGTACCCAGGCTAAGTTGGTTTTGCCCACTAGTTGTAAATAAGCATTCAATTAGATAAGAGTATAGTTTTCAAATCTCTCGCTCTTCTCTCTTTTTCTGATTCCATCTAACTCCGGAAAAACTTCCAGGTACGTGCGCACATGGACACGACTGAACAGTTTACCATTGAAGCAGGTAGCGCGATGTGGACGGACTTGGAACTGGATAGGCACTAATCAAAGTTAGGAAATCTCTTCAACGAACCATGGAGACAACGAATCTTATATTTTTAAACATGAACGGAGAGAGAGACATCCCATCAATAATCATGTCTTTATCATACGTGTTTGTGCAGAAATACACCCTGGTCCGCCTGTCTGTTTTCTTGCCGGGATTTACAAGAAGTTGGACCTTCCGGCGCCTCGACTCTCGATCAAGATGTGTGAAAAAGCGTCTTGTGCAAATATTTCACCATTCTCATCCAAACGTTCACTGTAATCTCAGAGTAGACTAGTATAATGAAAGGTATTCACTTACCTGGTGGTTACGAAGAAGAACGGTTGGGACGACCCTGCAGTTGTCTGACGAAGACGTTTGTCGGAGAGGATGTTGGAAGACGACCTTCTCTGGACCACGCACTGGCGAGTAATGACCACAGGAGTGACCGGAGGACTGGACACTACTGAGGGGGGAGTGGCAACCGGTTCAGGGCGGTTGGCCATCTGTGAATGATCTCACGTCCTAGAACCAGGTCACAAGGTCCGTGCAGTTTGTTGTGGTCAGCATGTGGTCAGCATGTTTACAGCTACACCGAGTCAGAACGTTACCTCGCAATGCGGTATACCAAGTAATAAAAGTTAATTAAAATGTTCTATATAAACACCGATGTAAAAAACAATAGTGGAAATGAAGTTGTTGAATTACAAGATAATTATGATTTTGTAAAGTGTGCAGTAAGACTTGCAGCTTCCATGTGGTTTGAATAAATGAGGAGAACCCCCGAAGGAGACAACAGTACTGTTCATCACGGGGGACAGGGACGGGCAGGGAGATCAATAGATGGCGCCCACGGAATCTTCCCATTTCTTTAATTTGTAACAGTTATCTGCTGAAAGGTCACTCTGCTCCGGGACATTTATGATCGACACTTTCTTTATGCAATGCAGTTGTTACACAGTGTCTATGTGTAATGCTATTTTTCTCTACACCAACATGAGGGTGAGGAAAATCACGCCAAACTAACCAGGGCCAAATCTGAAAGTTTAGCAAAGTAGAGTTCTCATCTGACTGTAAAACCCCCCACTGTTACATGATATATGGCCATAAACCCTATGGATGGGGGCCCGCAAGCCCTTTTCCGTAGAGCTTAATCGGCCGTTTTAATTGTACGTAGAGCGTAGACGGACCGCTCTAATATTTTTGCGTAGAGCGTATTTAGCGTTTTAATTCAACGTAATGCGTTGTAACCACGTAAAGCGTAATCGAGAGGTTTCCAAATTCAGCGTAGAGCGTTGTCGGGACCCCGCCCCCCCCTTGCAGGCCCTCATGGATGTTTTGGCTGTTCTTTTTCTGGCCGCCGTTCTTTTTATACAGACATCCGACTGGACTTATCATAAAATAGCCATTTTTGATTGCGACTACTTTAATAGGCCTATTGACCACCATTGAAGCCTGCCCCGTATTATATAAATATCTGGGCGGGCGGGCAGCCCTCTCGGCACCGGGAAGGTCCAGGGAAGGTCCTGGTAACCAAGCTACCCTGATGGGATGTTTCCCAGGTTTATCTGAGTGCGCTGAGTGGGACAGGGTGCCTGGTGCCACCCGACGGCTCTTGTGGAGCCAGCGGACCATAAAAATGATATATATATATATCGATTGGACCACGAAAGCCTGGAGTCCAGCTTTGTTAGCTTTGGTCCGCTCAAAAAGATCCATCTGGGTAGCGGATCTTGTAGCCTGGGTTCCAGACCCATAGCACACTGGACACAAAATATCTCAAGCTCACTGAGATCTTTTGTGTCCAGTGTGCTACCAGGTCTGGAACCGAGGCTACGGATCTTGGGGAGCTAACCCCAAATGAAGGCTGGACTCCAGGCTACGAAAGACTCGCAAGAACAACAGGCTCCCACGCATCAACGCACACACACACACACACACATACATACATACATATATACACACACACACACACACACACACACACACACACACACACACACACACACACACACACACACACACACTACTAAACAACACTGATCGACACTAGTACTAGTATATCGACGACTCTGTGAGATTGTCCTGTTGACTGCAACAGCACAGAATCTAAAGGATTCTTTTTTAATATCTTCCTTCAATTGTCCGTGGTTGAACTTCATAAACTAAAGAACTTGGATACATCATAGGGACATTCTGGACGCCATTCTGGACGATGGTTTACATACATTGTAGTAGCCGCAGTAATACAGAGATTCTTTATTGACTCAACAAAAAAGTACAGTGACTTTGGTATGGTCTTCTACAACTAAAGATCTAACCAAGCTAAATACATGTGTGGATAACGTCATCTTACGTACAGAGTATATGTATGCGGTAACAATAAAGGTTTAACTATTCTCTAACATTATGAAATAAAGACTGAACTTCCAACTTACCCCAAAAATTCTCTAACATGTGTTCTCTAAGATCGAAACATTCTTTAATGTATTTTCCTATTTGAACACTGTATTGGTTATCTCCCCTGAGAATGTAGTTGAATTTATCTATAGGATCTAACGTATTGAAATCGGTTGAACAAGCGGAAAGAAAGGTGAACAGCAATAGGCGCTTATCATTGTATAGTGTACAATCCATTATAATATGTTGCTCATTTTCAATCATGTTCGGACAAAATGGACATGGCAGGTGGCATGACAGGATTCGTACCTGGGACCTCTTGGTTCTAAGTGGGCGACTCTGTCGTTATAACTGTCATGTATATTATTACGCCACACGACCATACATTTTACATTGTCTGACCCGCGGGCGCAGGTTGGTTGGCTCCCGGTCTCAGCTCAGGCCGGTGTTGTGAGGGTTTGCGATCTTTATTCGGTGGTAGATAGCTTCGTGTTGTTATAGGCGCTACCAACTGACCCGGTCGACGGGTCTAGACCTTTTAGCGAAGCGGTTAGAGCGTCTGGTTATGAAGCTCTGGTGCTCCCGTGCACTCGTCGTGGGTTCGAACCCCGGCCCGGGACCAGAAGGCCCCCACTGTTACAGTGTCAAGGCCTCAAGCCAGGCCTCAAGCCAAGGGGCTGCAGGATGGAACACGTGATCTCAACAAGTGGTAACAAACTCCAGTAAATCGGAAACAGCGTAAGAATTTCCCCGCTTAATTGGAGCAAAATGTGCATGTGGCCTGGTGGTCTTCTTGGAAGGTCCTTCATGTTGAGACGTGGAGCCTGGAGGCTATTTATAACAATTTGCCCAGTCGGCACTTGACAAACATCATGTACATGAAAACTTTCAGCAATAGATAGAGCACGGTTTGAGGCTGAATACTCGGATTTAGAACTGCCCCGCCCACCAAGGGGATTTCATGTCTCCTGAGGCCGGACTAACTTTAATAGAGCACTTCTAGGTCCCTAAAGTTGATCAACTCCATCCACTAGCACATTTGTACTTGATTTGCTTTATAAATCTTTGTTTAGTGTCACTTTCCGTCTCGTTTCAAGGAGTCGTTTGGTTGCCCATCTGAGCTGATTGACGACCGCATAGTCTAATTTATTCGATTAGTTAGAGCACCTCTATCCCTCTGTCTTCCAACACTTGTTCAACCGTATACGTCGATCGCCATTTCGACGATAACACTACGAATCCCCCGCTAAAAACTCATACCTCCATGACATATTTAGTGCTTTTGTAAAACTTATGCTTGGTGATTACCACCTGTAAAGCCTTGCTCACAACCCGCCGTACGTGTATCTGCGTACTGTCTACGTGCAAAAACGTGGGTAAACGTAGGGGATCCGTAAGTGGTGAGTACCACCCCCGTACGGAATCCTACGGATTGAGACACGCCGTAGAAAGTGCATGCAAAACATTTTCTACGTGCGGTCTGCGGATTCACCACCCGTACGTGCGAGTACGGGCGACGCGCGTGCCCCGTACATAAGACGCACGTGTGAGTACGGTAAAGTTGCAATCGCACAGAGATCGTACGTTGTAAGCACGTACAACTCACTTACCACTTGCGCAACGTACGATGTACACAACCGCTCACGGCCAGACGTGGCGTGCAGACCACACTCTTACACCTTGCGCAACCGTGCGCCGCAGTGACGTGCGTCGACGCCACTCCTTCCCCACGTTTTCAGAAAAAACGGACGTGGCAAAAAAAAAAAATACGGACAAAAAGCACGTACGGCGGGTTGTGACCGGGGCTTTAATGGCTTACATCTACAATCCTGCTCATGAGCAAAATTTTTATACAAATTATTCACATAGCCTCTACCTAGTAACATGCAACACACTGGTTAAATCCTTATCATTATATTTGGCATGGGCAACGTATGATATTGTTGGTTATATGCAAGCACGGCCTCTGACATACCTTTGCCAAATCATGTTAGCCGTCCAAACTGACTAATTATGTACATTTTTCACTGTGAATATGCAAATCATTATGGCTCATTTGCATATACCATACCAGTTAATCATATTCTCCACCCAATGACAGGGTTATCTTAAGCAATAAAGCTAATCTAGCGTTTCCTCATAAATTGTGCAAATGAGGTCCAATCAATCAATCAATCAATCAATCAATCAATCAATCAATCAATCAATTTGCACAACAGTTGTCACAGGTACAATGTATGGCAAGTTCTCCAGAGGTACAACATATCAAACTAATATCTATCGAGTGCAGTAGGTAATAGGTATCCTTCTACTTCTATATATCAATACTTGTCTAATAGTACACGATTTTATAAACGTGATATATACAAGGAACGTGGCTTACATGGTAAAGTACCGGAGATATGGGACTAAATGGGAGTATAGGACTAACTACATAATAGATACTACGCTAGTATTAGAAGGGAACACCAGTCGTCTATAAGATCCTATGAAAAACATAACGAGGCATGAACAACGAATATGTAGGTATTGTAATGTAAAAAGAATATGAGGATGAGGAACACTTTGTATTAGAATTTAGTTTATACAATGAAGAGAGAGATGAGCTTTATAAACTATTGCAAATGTATGTTTCCCCATTTCATACATCTTAGCAACACAGATAAGTTCATATTTTTAATGGCTTTAGACAAACCTTCGATTATAAAACACGTTTGTACTTTCTTATATCTACATCGTTACTAAGAAGCGAGAAGAAGCCAAATTATCGTAATTATTAGACTATATGTCCATAGTACATAGAATTAGCGCTAGCTTGTACATTGTATATATTCATTGCAAACTGTGACGTCTTTCCTGTGACCTGTACTGAACCCAGTGGGTATTTGCGTACAATAAAGGTCTTCATTCATTCATTCATTCATTCATTCATTCATTCATTCATTCATTCATTCATTCATTCATTCATTCATTCATTCATTCATTCATTCATTCATTCATTCATTCATTCATTCATTCATTCATTCATTCATTCATTATTATTAAGGTACAACCCACAGCTCGTGCGTTGATAACTGTATCCCTGTAATAACAATATATAGTTATGACATACTTCTGAACAAGTCAGTGACTGCATGAATGAATGAATGAATGAATGAATGAATGATACTTTATTTCCGTGTCGTGCGCTATCCCGCGCCCAGCCCGTGTGGGCTTATATGACACCGATTCAATAAATTATACATAAACAAAAGACGATCAAAGGTACAGATAACAAAATCCAAACAAGATATGAACGCAAATAAAGGTAGGCTATATACAATAATGGTGAACAAATAAGTGAACTCATAGCAGATCGTAAATACAAATAAACAAATCTGTACATAATGAACCAAGAGTTCACAAAATAAATACAAGTACATAAGGTAAATCAAACATAATAAGAGAAAATGATAACTGTTGATGTGTTATGAATACAGGTATTTTCTTCTTTTCCCCCACGCTCGATAAATGAAAGTTGCTAGGTCAGATACATCCTCGTTAAAGAGCCACTTAATTCTATTTTCATCTCTTTCCCATATGATGTCAGGTGATTTTGTATAAATTTTACGAAACATATTTTCTCGAAGGTCGTCATAAAAGGGACAGTAGAAAAGAAAATGTGTTTCGTTTTCTACTTCATCCAGGTCACACATGGTACAGATTCTATTTTCATCAGGAATTCCCTGGTACCGTCCAGTTTCAATATTGATAGGTAAAATACCAGCTCGCAGCTGCGCACACAGTGATCTTTGGCGTTTGGGCAGACACATAGTTACCTCCATGAAATGTGTCATGGAGGTTATATTTTCAGTTGCGTTTATCTGTCCGTCCGTCTGTGCGTCTGTCCGTCTGTTGGTCAACAAGATAACTCAAGAACGCCTGGATGGATTGGTTTCATACTTGGTGTGTTGGTAGGGTGTGACGAAAACTAGAAATGATTAGATTTTGGGCCCCCTAGTGGCTTCCCTTGGTACTGCAGCGCAACTTCCGGTTTTGATATCTCGCGATCTGGACATGCTAGGGTCATGAAATTTGGATGGAAGGTAGCTCTTGTCCTCAGGAAGAAGTCATGTGAGTTTGGTCCCCCTAGCGGCTTGTTCTGGAACTGCAGGGTGGTTTCTTTGAAAATCTTCGAGAGAGGATAACTGAACAACCGTTTGATGGATCATCATGATTTTTGGTATGTAGGTAGCTTAAGTGATGCTTGACATAATCAAAATATAATTATGCAAATCAGGATCTAATTTGCATAATTAATGAGGAAAGTCTATAAATCAGCTGTATTTCATATTAGGGCTATAAAACTCTATAGACATATGTTAGTGAGAACGACAAGATCATTGGCAGATATTGATTATGTAAAGGAAGACCTAATTTGCATAATAAATGGCAAATTGGTACAATTTTATGGTTGTAACTGCTGGGAATTTAATACTTGCCATAATTGGAAGTTCAGTGAAGGTGAACATCACTAAACATAATTTATTTCAATCAGGACCTCATTTGCATAATTTATGAGGAAACGCTAGAATAGCCTTATTTCTTAAGATAACCCTGTCATTTGGTGGAGAGTATGATCAATTGATACAATATATGCAAATGGCCTCATATAATTTGAATATATGCGGTGAAAAATGTAAGCCAATTACAGGTGGTCATCACCATGCGTAAGATTTATGAAAGTAATACACATGTCATGGAGGTATGAGATCATCGAACTCTAGTTACATATTTTTCTATACAGTAAGTATCTTTAAACAGAGCATATGTTCTAAGTTTAGGTTTCAAATGTACTTTGGTTTCCCAGTCTTGCTTGTATAAGTCAAAAAGCTTCCCTTTAATTTGCCTTATTTCACCCCTCAATGTGTTAAAATAAACATGTTCTTGCTCAACTTTACAGAATATATCCTGAACATTTCTACTCCAGGGGCCATGGTTTTGAAAGTCCCATAAAAATACTTGTTTTGTAATTCTATCATTTGACATATTGATTAGTCTATTCCATAAAGCGATTACAGACCCCTGCTGTCTTATTTCACAGGGCGCCCAGCCCATGTCCCCTGTTGTAGCAAGAACAGGTGCAAATCTGTGCACCCCTAAAAAGCACCTAATTGCTCTGTTCTGCACCACTGAGCACTTGTCAGATGTTTTGTATCCCCAGACACCAGCTGCATAGTCAAGGATCTTGAAGGTTTTACTGCATTTATTGTAAAACCTGCAAGAGGTCTCCCATGCTATTAGTAGGTCAATGCATTATGTCAATATGTAAAAAAAATTACAAGTACATAATTTCTATATAGTGTCCTTGCTAATTACCACAACAAACATGTGGAAAAAGATTTTAAAAACATATTAAGCCATGAACAAGCCATTATACATATAAAACAAATCTGAATGTAACATGTAAGTTATTTATATGTATATGTATATATATAAAAGCATATATACATATATATATATGGTTATGTATATGTATACACACACACACACACTATTAAACACACACACACTGTTGTCAGGACTGGGACGGGCTGGCCCAGGATCTCTTTTGCCGCCTCTCGAAGCCTGGTAGAGGCTAGGCTAACATAGCCGCGGCGACTGTTGCAGGGCTTCTCTTGCTTGCAGTCTTTTACATTAGCCCTATGTAGGGCTAATGTAAAAGACTGCAAGCAAGAGAAGCCCTGCAACAGTCGCCGCGGCTAAGGCTAACAGTGCTATGGGATGATTGGGATCGCCAGTGAAAACTTTACATCTCTGATGGCAAACCTGTGACGCTTAGACAAACACTACTACTACTACCTTGGAATCCATCCGTGAACGCTGTGTCTCCGCTCCGTTCCAACGTTCACGGATGGATTCAAGGCTAAAACACTACCGAAAATGTCCTTACAAAAATTCCTGACCGGCATCCCTCCCCCGGCTGGAGCGCAGTGGTACGTTCCAGAGGATGGGTCTCAACATGGCGGCTGCCAGAGAGGAGGAGAGTCCCGGAGGCCCGGAGTCGTCTTTTTCCCCCCACCGTCACGCCACCAGGCCTCCCCACAGCCCCACACTACCCTGGGACAGGTTCTCCAACTGGCTGCACTGTATCTGTGTAGTCACGTTCGATTTAGAGCTCGGGCAGGCCATGGAGGTGGGTATTCCCCTGGCGTTCCTGTGCAGACTGTAGCTTTGTTGGCTTTGACCAGATAACAAAGGAAGTTGTGCTGTCACAGCGCCGGAGATGAAACTACAAGTACATGTATTTACCCTGATGCTAGCATCTGCACAATCAGAAATATTTCATGTTTTGTTTGGGTAGTGAAGCAAGTGGAGTGAAAAAATGTCGCTTCATATTTGTAAACAAATTGATTTTTTGATCCCGGACGCACGACACTGAGACAGGGGGGGGGGGGGGGGCTAAATCAAGACAAAATCATACAAAAGTACTGTACCTAGCCTTCTCCTGGTACATTGAGAGTACACACATTGACTAATTATGGCCTCTCAAGCGACTAGAAACAGTAGAAATTGGCCAAATAGACAGTTAACATGCCAGGAGCTTGGGAGTTGACCCACTACAGGTTTAAAGGCTAGGAGCTGCTCCTGGAAGTTACAGCTCAGTTTTGTGGAAAATCCAAACAAACAAATAAGCACACTACCTACTTATTTTGTACATAATATGTGCCGGGAGATAGTGTAGTTATCAAATTCATGTGTTGTTTTTTTTACATCCATAGTTTTTAGAAAAATGAATGAATGAATAACTTTGTAGCCTTCAGCCTGAAATTTGTTTCACTTACATTTAAGTACACCAGTTTAAAATACATACAACTCAATTCCACACAAACGGTTGCATATATTAACGTTACATACTTGGAACTTCAGTATTGAAATAATAACTAAAACGTAAGAGTCAGTGTAGTCCACTTGAGCAGTCGATTTGCAACATGTCATTTATCCTTGTTCAACAGTGCTAACAATGATGGTACTAGGCTATTTTGAGTGGTGCAGCAAGGTGCTAGAGCAATTTGTCAGACTTCATATATATATATAATATAATAAGATTTTGGCTGTGTTCCTGTGTGTTAGGCAGGAAAATTTTCACGCGTGTTCCAAATTCCAAATTTTTTTCCATGCTATCAGTCTTATTATCCCACAGTAGAACAGACTTAACCCAGAAATCAGACCTAATCAATGTCTACCGTAGTTTTTCTGTCAGTTTTCTGATACATTCCTGTTGAATGTCGGTAAAAATCGCTTTTCTGAGTTTTCTGAGGTTAGGAGAGGTCAATAAAGGTAACTTATAGCGTGCATTACATCCTGGTAACCCAAATGAATATAATGTAACATGTAGGCATTGTAGGGTAGTGAGTTAGGTGAGTTAGGCTTTCAAGTTTGCCCGTGTTTTTGATTACTATTAACGTTACATGTATGAAAATCTTTCAAAACAAAATACAAAAATTCAAAAAGGACTTCTGTTTTAATCAGGTTTTGGTGAATAGCATGAACCTAATGATAATTATGAGTGACTGATGATTGAAGGACTGTTGTATGCCTAAAGCTTCGGTCACAACCCGCCGTACGTGCATCTGCGTGCTGTCTACGTGCAAAAACGTGGGCAAACGCAGGGCATCCGTGCGTGGATTTGGGAGCACGCAGACACGCCGTAGAACTTTAAGTGCATGTAAAACTTTTCTGCGTGCTTTCTGCGGATTCACCACCCGTGTGTGCGAGTACGGGCGACGCGCGTGTCCCGTACGTACTGTACGAAAGACGTACGTGTAAGTACGGCCTCCTTACGGTAAAGTTGCTATCGCACAGAGATCGTATGTTGTAAGCACGTACAACTCACCACTTGCGTAACGTACGATGCACGCAACCGCTCACGGCCAGACGTGGCGTGCAGACCACACTCTTACACCTTGCGAAACCGTGCGAGTGACGTGCGTTGATGCCACTCCTTCCCCACGTTTTCAGAAGAAAACGTAGCAGACGTAGCCTAAAAAATAAAACGTACGTACAAAAAGCACGTACGGCGGGTTGTGACCGAAGCTTAAACTAAGTTAAAGGTTTCCACCTACAACACATACAATCGATTGATCACATCAAAACAGCAGCACAGATTTTATGTGACAAACAAATAAGTGTTCTTCACCAACTGCTGTGTTAGTGGCAGTTAGCTTTCTAATATCACATTACAGCTTGACCAAGGTCAGTGCAATACTAATTTGATCTACATGTACCACATGAAATTGGTGACTCAGATCTCAGATGGTTTTAAACTTAAAGGTATCCAATGCAACTTCAGGGTTGCAAAACAAGAAATATTTTGGATGAGGAAACCTGTCTGATTTTGACATTTACTGCCATTCTTAGCCTATGATACCAGTCTTTGATACAAGCAACCATTTTCCATCAGTGACATCACATTTTACCTCCCAGAACTTGACAATGTCATGTGCATGCTGGTTAATCCTGTATAGCCCATTTGTAATCGTAATAATGTTGTATTTTGTAACCAGACCCAACAATTCAGCCGAATGCATCTCGGCTGCCAGTGGGTCCTGGGATTTATTTGTTCATCAACAATAAACCAGTCTATATATATATCTTTTGTTTTTCAGCTGGTTTACCCGGGCCACATCAAGTTGTCTGAGAAAGAGGTAAGAGAATTTTATAAGAAATAAAATGTCAGGCAGCTAGAGTTCCAGGATCTTATGCCTTTGCCAGATGATGTCAACCTTTATGACTGACATATTCTAAAGGTTCCTTATTGAACTGTATCAGTTAATCAAAACTTAATGATCTTCTCTATCCAAGTACAGGTTTGATGGAGACGCTATCTTAACCAGGGCTCGAAATACTTTTTTTCATCTAGGTGCAAAATTGCACATTGGCAAAAATTTTAGGTGCAATTTGATTTTGCCTGCAATGCCCCCTCCTGCTCTACAAAATGTAGGTCCTGCAAAATTGCACATTCAAAATATTTTTAAGTGCAAATCTTTAAAATCATGTGCATTTTGCACATTGCACACGGGTATTTCGAGCCCTGTCTTAACTATTAAAGAATGCTGTTATGCAAATGAGACCCTTATTTGCATGATTTATGTTGTTCTCCTGTTTATATAATTTCCAAACACAGCGAGTTTTTTTGAGGATTTTGTATCTGGCAGACACGTTTAGGCCACAGGCAAAGGGTTACAATTCTGCCAAGAATAGTATGCTGGAAAATCTCATTATATCAGTAAACACAATGTTTCCAGCTGGCTTCTGATAGACTTTTGGATACCTCCTGACACATAGAAATTTTACAGGCAATGATCTGGATGTGGGTATATTTGTGTCTACATTTTGTTTTCACAGAAAATGAACATTTGTTACCTGTCATTTCCCGACTCCAACTCTGGTAAGTATGATGAGATAAACGTTTCTCATTCCTGTATGAAAGAAAAAAATTGATCAAAGGATTCTTCTCTCTCTTACTTGTTGGGTCAAAGTACTGATTTCTGTCACTGAGTCAGATACATGTACACCTCTATTCAATGTACATGTATTTCCAAATTCTTGAGTCTTGGTCTGATTATGTGGTTAGTTGTGATGGTGTTGTATGAGGTCAACCATTGGAAAATAACAAATATCAACTTGAACACAACCCATCTTCTTGAGCTGGGCTCGAAATTCATTTTTGGGAATAGGTGCACTCAGGTGCACCCAACCTGAAAAAATTGGGTGTGCAAAAAATTTTTTGGGTGCTGTGGGCTGCTTGCCGAGAGAAGATAGCTGCTTATTTGATGCGTATGCTCAGCTAAAAACACAATAGAATCATTATTATATTGCATTATTACATCTCATTACATTATACAAAAACAGTTTGTACCTTACCTTGTTCCAAGGCTGGAGTGTGAAGGTTTGACATTCAATGTTACATAATTTTCTAGTTCAGTTACAGTGAACTGTACCATCACATTTTGACTCATCAACATCATGTACAACCAATAAAATTAGGATACAATATGTAAGTAATGATAATGAAAATGATGAGAAAGAAAAAAAAACAGTGTATAATGAATAGCAATAATAAATGATATTAATAACAAAATGTACAAATTCATAGTCCAGCGAAGTTTGTCGCCATGGAGGGGTCAGAGGTCTGGGCAAGTTTTGCATTTGATTTTAAAAGTGGACATTGATGGACAGGTCTTTATAGCATGTGGCAAACTGTTTCAGAGGATTGGGCCTCTATAGGAGAACTTGAGCTATGCCAAATTCAACTTCAAGGCACACTAGGGGTAGTTCAAAGATAGATTCTGACTGTGTCTGTTGGGATATCTGTGAGATTCAGAAGCCATCTGAAAGCTACTTGTATCAATGTATTCTAGAAGTTCATTGTTGACTGCCTTGTACATTGATTGTAGCAGGTGCAAGTTTCTCCAGGATGATAAAGTTTTCCAACCTATATAGCTAGGGTAGTCTAGATAACTGACCATTCCCAACATGATGTGTACATGTACATGTTTATGGTAAACCAAGAATAAGTCTCATCGCCCTGTTCAGGAGTTTTTGTAGTTTGTCAGACAGAGACACTTTTCACATATCACATCGCAGTAGTCTGTTGTATCTTGTACATAAATGTAGTTTGAAAACAAGAGTGAGTTTTGTCTATTTCCTAGGCTGTATGGGAGACACACAGTTCTGTTTCCGGATACGTCAGAGTCCTGGTCGGAAGGCACCGTCACACACAGACACACACTGGGAGAGGGAAGCACCAGTCTACTTACATCGGGACCATGCACATTACTATGGTTATGTGTACTTCCGTCAAGTTAAGGACAAGTCTTCAAGGAGAGGATACTTCCAGAAGGTGTGTGTGTGCATATGAATGTGTGTGTGAGCATGTGTACTTGTGTGTGTGACTGTGTGTGCGTGCAGGCATGCGTGCGTGCGTGTGCACGCATGTGTGTGTGTTTGCATTTATGTGCGTGTGTGTGTGTGTATGCGTACATGTGTGTGTATGTGTGTGTGCGTGCATGTTCGTGTGTGTGCGTGTACATGTACCGGGTATGTGTGTTTGCGTGCATATGTGTGTGTGTGTGTGCGTGTTGTTTGTAAATCCTACTGCATAATGATAAAATAGCACCAGAACTTAAGAAGTAAAGTAAAAAGTAACCATGGCTTGGTGCATAGCACTCGTTTGTCATCAAAACAAGAAATCTGAGATTCCAAACCTCCAGAAAGTAATATAATACAATAATGATAATCACAATGACTGCTGACAATTTCTGATCTATAGTAGCAACGCAATTTATGTTACAAGAAAAAATATAGGCCAAATAAAGCCCTCCTGAAATTTTGAAAGTCCCCACGTAAATTGATGATTGACATTGCTGTTTTAGAGGAAAGTCACTGCATGCAGCACAACTTGTCAAATTATTTTGCATCATCTTCAAATTCTGCTAAATTGCCCGAAATCAGAATGATAATAACTCAATAACTAACAAACAATGAATTTGAACTGTTTTGGTGAGACAGCAGTGGGTAAACTGGGAAAGGAAGATTAGGACTTTCTTCAACTGTGATTGGCTTGTCTGTCTGTGTGCATGTTTCCAGCCTGCAGTTTCTGTACATTCTGCAAGGTGGTGCATGCCATCAAGTCTGACTGAGGTCTGCCTTTTTGGATTGCTTTAGGCTATGTTGATTTGATCAAGGACATTATACTTGTGGTATAATTGATTATATGGATGACATCCTCTGTGAACCCTAAAACTGATGTGAGCATGCATGTCTACATGGTCATAAAGGCTGAACAAATGACTGACTGAAACAGAGTATGGTATGGTGAATAATAATACACCTGTACTAGACTGTACTAGACTCTTAATTTTCACTTCTTCACATTTTCTTCTTTTCCTGAATTGATTTCAGCATTCTATGACATAACTATTATTTTCAAAATACTTTTTTGCAACATCCGACATATATTCGCTCATTTTGTACTATTTACAGTATGCGTCGATGAAGGTTAGACATCCAGGTAATACGATTCGCCAAAAAGCAGTTACTCAAGCAACTGGATATGATTTTGAAAACGTCAGACGTTTCAGGTAGTATCCACTAGCTTTCGTCAGTGACTGAGAGACCAGAGGGGAAAACAGGTTTATAAGCACAACCTATTGATTGATATGCAAATAAAGTGAAGACAAATTTTTGGAAGTCGAAAAAGGGACAAAAGTCAGACAAGTCAAGACAAGATGATGCAAATTAGTCTGAAAGCTCCTGTTATACTGTTCCTTTTTCGACTTCCAAAAATTTGTCTTCACTTTATTTGCATATCAATCAATAGGTTGTGCTTATAAACCTGTTTTCCCCTCTGGTCTCTCAGTCACTGACGAAAGCTAGTGGATACTAGCTGAAACGTCTGACGTTTTCAAAATCATATCCAGTTGCTTGAGTAACTGCTTTTTGGTGTATTTACAGTATGGTCGAAAATTTTTTTTTGAACGGACAAAAATTTTTGCGCACGCGGATGTCATCCATATAATCAAATCAACATGGCCTTAGTAACCAGTTTGTATTTTTTCCTCCCACAGTCGCTAGTGCTAATCACTCGACTTCCCTTCAACAACCTCTTCAACTTCCTGGCTGAGGTGGTGGCTCCGGAGTACTTTGACAATGGAGAACCGTGTTTGGAGGCAGCCTGTCATGACATAGACCAGTGGCCCTCCCCACAGCCTGGGGAAACCCTGTCACTGCCTATGATGGGGATGGTCATTCAGGTCAGCTCAACACTAGCACAACTCTCCCAACCATAGTTACATGTGGTAGCAGAACACAGTTTTCGCCCTATGGGGATTTCTATAGTTAAGCTCCCCAAGATGACTCACTTCGACTCTGTAAAAATTATAGTAGGGTGCACTTCACAAATACAAAAATCGAATATGTTTGAGATGAAGGTACAAACTGCAAAATAGCCAAAAACCAAAAAATCCTGTCGGCGTATCTGCTCATAACGTACACTTTGAAATCGCCCTCTACGGACGTGACCTGAACTGCAGCCGACTCACCCGGAAAGCCAGTTGCGTAATACGGTGGATTTATACACGAACTGCAAAACCTTCACAATTCAAATCATACAGTCTCAAACCTGATACATCCCTACACCACACAGCACAATTTACATCTGGCTGACGCTCTTATCAGGCTTTCTTCCCAGTCTGCAAGAATATTCTCTGCACTACTTTCTATACCCGCGTCATAGACCCCGGGGGTCGCCCATTAATACTGTGTTCTGCTACCATGTAGGAGTAGGTCAGGAGCAACTGTGACTGGGTCGGCTGGTGTTTGGCTACTGTTTGGCAGCACCAGCCAAATGTTTCACATGTCTACAACATTTGGGTGTGGATGGATGGTTTGTCGTGGTTGGCTGGTGTTTGGAAGTAGGTAGAGGCGTGGTTGGTAATAAAATTTGACTCAAATTTAATTCAGATTTTTATTTACATGTATATAGAAATGTAGGCATGGCCTAAATCTGGTCAGACTGCTCCTGAACTTCAGCCAGCCTTGGTGATCTGGGGTCTGGGGAAGGTTAGGCCACGCCAATTTAATTTGTTGGTTCTCAGATTTTTTCAGAAAAAATATGAAGCAACAGGGCGAAAAAAAATAAAATAAAAACAGGTCTAGGCATCCTATTATAGCCCCAAATGCTACAATAGGAGCCATGAAGTGAACACAAAAGGCTGGGTTAATATAAACTATTAATCAAACAACTGCATTGATAGATGGAAAAACTGTAACAACTAGGAAGAAAAGGACTTTCCTCAACTGTTGGGGTAAAATATGAGCATATTTGAGTTGATTCAGAACAAGAAACTTTTTTTTCGTTTGCAAATCAGAAAAAAATGAAGAGGGGAATCCGAGAACCAACAAATGAAATTGGTGTGGCCTTATGAATGTTTTTATTTTTTTTAGGTGCGAATCCCGTCCAAACAGGACAAGTTAGCGACGACTCCTGTCCAGGTTATCCACCAACAGTCTACTGTAAGTTCTGACTTTACTACCATTTCTTATCAAGTCTACCCCAATCTACCTATTGAGACTGTATTGTAATGTAAATTTATGTCATACCTGGGCCGCGATTACGTTCGATGCAGGTGTTCCGGCCCGTTTGATAACTAGCGGTACGGCCCGGGGGTTCTTAACGCGTACGACCCGGGCTTCCAAATGTGCCATAGAACGATTCGAACGCGTTTCGCACTAACCGCATGCACCGCTTTCGAAAATTTGAATAGAAAATTCGGACGTTGCAATTGATGTTGTTACATTTTTTGGGTTTAGGGACTCCAAATTTTTGCTCATTTCGCAAATTTAAAGGCGTGTTTTCTTGGGTGGGTATGACATAAATAAAATACAACACGATATATTCCGCATCACCCTCGGCCCCAGCCCTCCTGTGGATCGGATCTCCTTCTGGCCTTTGGGCGATTCGACACGCGGTCGGGCTGGTACCTCAGGCGACACGAATACCCCGTGTTGTATTCTATGTGTAACACATGGGTTTATGTTTATAATAATATGTATATTTACTGTGAATTCCCAATTTAAGTTCACATCTTGATTAAAGTACACGTCCCCAATACCGGACTGGTCGGAGGCAAATCTACCAATCTGAAACATAAACTGAAAACGTGAAATCAAACTTCAAACAAGATTGGGTGCTATTTTGTTAATATGCAAATATTACCGTTTCTTATCTCTGATTGGCTCACCTCAGATAACCTGTGCTCTGATTGGTTCGTTGAAAGGCATCAGCAGTGCATGATGTGATTAAAAGGTCAAGTTAGTGTTTTACTTGCATTTGGCAGGTTGTAGGCCAAGTTGGCCAAAACAAGCTGTGCTTTGAAACGGTTAAAGTTACTTAAGTTTGTAGCAGCCTTTATATCGATATTGATAGAAATGAATTCTGTCATGTTATCAGTCAACAGCACGTCGACAGAACGTACTGCACCTGCACGAAACCCGTAATGTATTGTACATAGCATTTCGGCAGAACGTCTCATATAAGGTTGTATTCGCTCATATAAGGTTAGCATTTCGACAGTAGTTTTCAAATGTTATATATAATGTTGGAAAGAATATCCCCTGCAACAGGCAAAATTCTGATGCAACGTTGACCAAAAACCCAACGAAAAACGCGAAAATATGGCTGCGCAGGCGCAGTACGTTCTGCCGACGTGCTTCAGTCAACCCTCTTCAAGGAGACCTCCTGTCCTGGGTAACCACTTTTCTTTGTTCCAAGGTTGGTCACCTTGGGCAGGATTGACTGTAATTAATGGGTCTGCCTATTTACCGGAATACACCGGAAAACACAGTTAAACACCGGAAAACACCGGAAAACACATATAGGAGGCTAAAATCTACCGGAATACACCCTGATATGATGAGATAACATACCGAATTGCTGTATTTTGACATGAAGTAACGTGTATATCGCCGCGGGAACAAGAAATCGTTATGAATCGGCGATCGCGGAGGCGAGCCGACCAGTCGCCATGTTTGTTTACATTGACGACTACGAAATGTTTGTTTAACGCGATCGCCGTACAGAAGTGAAATTTACCGAAATGAAGAGGTCTTTGATGCAGGTACCGCAAGTTGCTACATTCTGGCATGAAATAAGTCGTATATATATAGAATACAACACGGGGTATTCCGTATCGCCCGAGGTATCGGCCCGACCGCGGGTCGGATCGCCCGACGACCGCAGGCCGGAGGGCGATCCGACTCGCGGGAGGGCTGGGACCGAGGGCGATGCGGAATACACCGTGTTGTATTTTATTTATGTCATACCCACCCAAGAAAACACGCCTTTCAATGCAAGATGAGCCAAAAGTTGGTGCCACTAAACCCTAAAATGCAACAACATCTATTCCAACGTCCGGATTCTGTATTCGAATTTTCGAAAAGGGCACAAGCGGGTAGGGCGAAACGCGTTCGAGTCGTTTTATGGAAGCCATGTAAGCGTTCGATAACGGGTTCCGGACCGGGCCGTACCGTAAAGTACGGCCCGGTCCGGAACCCGTTATCGAACGTAATCGTGGCCCGGGTATGATATAAGACTTTGTTATATGACGTTGGGAACAAGAAATCACTATGAATCGGCGGAGTCGACCCGGCCAGACGCCATTTTGTTTACTTAGCAGCCGGCTATAACGCTAGTGAACCTTTATCCGTCACTTTTTCTCAGTGACAATCATGTGACGCCAATTTCTAAAAATGATGAACCGTTTTTCTTGTCCTATTATATGTTGACACCGTAGAGTACCTTAGTCCTTTTTGCTGAATATGTTTCACTGTTTCTCCGATCCCGCTGATAAGAAAACCTTGCCTGCTGTAACCTGGCCGGACCACGGAAAAGTTAGCTCGGCGTAGCTAGTTTATAAAAAAATTCGATTGCGGAGGAGTGAGCCTGTGCTACCGAATTTAAAATTTGATGCAAACCAAAACAAGAACGAGGGGCTACTGGGGCTTACTATTCTGAACGGGAACGAGCGAAAAGGTTTTTAAAAAATATCTCGTAAACTACTGCTTATGTCACAAAATCAAAGGTGGAAAGCTTCTCGTCGCTGGGACGTTCCCACGTGTTGCCAAGACGACGGCACGTCCTGATCAGACAGAGCGGCGTCACGCCCTCAGCACAGGCATTGGCCCCGCCCACCGGGTGGGCGGCAAAAGATTTCAAAGGCCTAAATATTGTAGCAAACCGTGCCGTGTACATATACCCCGCATTTTCACTTCGTATCGCAGGCTGGTATAGTCCCGCTCCAAATTAATTTTCCTGCAGCATTTCTTAGGATTTAAAGAGATTTCGTGATACGAAATAAAAAGATTTCTGTCAACTGAACCTTTGTAACGGCATGCATTACATGGATATAATCTTTGTTAAAGATTTCTGTGTTAACTAGAGCCGAAAGTGCATTAGAACTGGCCATCAGTTGAGGCACAACTACCATGTTATATTCATGTTACGTTACGACGACCAAGAACGTTCACGCGGCTTGCAGACCATTTTAAATCTTACCAACCCTCTTAGAACTGTGTTTACTCTTACGGGGGTATTTATTTTCGGCCGGGGTTCCACTGAGATCGGCGGCTGGCTGGCGAACTATCCCGTCGGCATGACCTATGAGTACCGGGCGTCTTTGCACTCGGGACGTGAGTGACCTAGTACATTTTCTTACCGTGCGCCCGAGTCTTGTTTTACTGCAACGTCGTGTTAATATCGACGATAGATGGGAGGCACAAAGGTTAGGGATTCACAGTAGTGTGTTAACAAGTCAACAATAATCGAGTCTAGGCGTGGTGGGGCGTGCCCGCTAATAGTAAAATCTGCATTATTAACACGTGCGCGGCGCCCCATCGCCCCGGCCATGTACTTCTACAGTCCGTGACGTATACGGGAAGAACTGGTCGTAACCATAGGCTTCCTTTCTATTCTTTTTGTTATGTTTTTTTCTGCAATTTTGTGTTTAGCCAGTCGTCTAAATTTTTTTCCCGTTCGAACGGGGGGGGGGGCCGGGTGCTTTCTTTATCATTTTGGGCATACAAAAAACGAAGTCACTGTTCAACACAAATCAAGTTCCTTTATAGATAATTTTGTTAACGTTATATAAATATAGGTTAATACGTACATGAACGTAACTATGAGTATGACCTGGACGGTATTAAAAGAAACACATATAAAAATACACATTTTTCCCGGGAAAATATGCAAATCTTACATCACGTGTGCCTGCTACGCGTCTCTGATTGGTTGAGTTTCTCTGCCGGCAAAAACAAGCGTGGGGACGCACGCTCAAATAGTTTTCTTTGTTTGAAAATAACGCTAATTTCCACCACTACATAACGAAATTCTTGTGAATAAATGTATAACTCAAAAAGTCTTTTGGGGAAATAAATATTCTTATCCGGATTTTTGGTGTATTTGGTGTTCTTTATTCATGATCGAATGGTGCCGAAGTCAGCGTACCCTGACGCTCATGAGCGATTCGCGATCGCCTAAATATCGCTGAAGAGAACATGTTCAGATCCTGGCGATTATGTTTTAGATCGACTACGATAAAACTTTCAGGGCTGTCCTCGGCAAAATCAGATGAAATTTCAGTGTCAAGCTTTGCAGGAAATTATCAAATGCCGCCGCTCGCTGACGCACGCACTCGCTCTGTGCGGGTCATTGACCTTCGATTTGCGTTGCTTCCGGAAAATGTCTGGCAGATTTTTGCGCTTTTATCCAACAGACCGACCTCGTAGCAATCATTCACGGGCATCCTATGCAACTATCTTTCTTCCAACTAGTTCGGAGTTGTGTGCACTGTGTATGGGAACCGCATCAATCTGAATAATCAATTCTCTTCTGTGATGGCGCTAAACAAACATCGTAGTCCGCAATGTAAACAAACATGGCGACTGGTCGGGTCGCCTCCACCGATCGCTAAATTATGATTTCTTGTTGCCGGGTTCCTGCGGCGATTTACACGCAATTTAATGGCAAAACACAGCAATTTTGGGATGTTATCTCGTGCAGGGTGTATTCCGGTAGATTTTAGCCTCCTATATGTGTTTTCCGGTGTTTTCCGGTGTTTAACTGTGTTTTCCGGTGTATTCCGGTAAATAGGCAGACCGGTAATTAATTCCATTTCAAAGATGGCTGCCATGTAGTCTGGAAACTGTACTTTCTGATTTAAACTGAGCAGCACTTTTATTTCTTACATTTTCTCCCTTGGGGCCTTTCTATAATGCATTCTGCAATCCTACCTAACATTACAGTTTAACTGTTATATTTGATGTGTACATTTGAACTGTTCCAGTCTCCAATACCTGCTCCATACGTGCTGCCTTCGCTACATGAAGTAGATATTTTCAAGTAAGTTTTCTTTTGTTATTTCTGTGAATTCCTTGAAAACATCTACTGTTAGTTTGTGTAACATTGTGTAGTGCTACAATCTGCGTAAAAAGTGGGCTTCATTGCGTGTTATCTGCTAAGTCGTGGTGGTATTGTTTTATTCTGCCGTTCTTCTACAAACAGCCAGCAGAATATTATGAAGATACCCATTCTCAATACACATGTTGCAAACTAAAGAAATGAAAGTCCTATGACAATTCTCTTTGTAATGTATAACTGCTTTATATCGACGAACAATGGGTGTGAAGTATGTGTTTTCGCCCATTGTGTGCCACCAGATCAGTGGTAATTGGCTACTCTACAAGTGAAAGAACCGGGTCCGTGATAAATTATTCATAAGTCGGTCACCGCTAGAAATGTACTGGATGGCATTCAGTGACGAGCCCCCCCCCCCACGCACCCGCTAGATACCGTTGACTGCTGGTCATGTACATGTAATGTTCATGCAAACTTGATCCACCTTCGTAGGCTTGAAAACTGAAGACCTACATGTACTTTTCTGGCTAAGTCATATTGCCTCAGGTATTATCTACATATTGTTGCTATTCTTATGACAGTAAGCTGTTACATGTACATGTAGTTAGTCTATTCTACTCCTACTACTACATGTAAGGTTACGTACTACTACTAACGCTATATTGTGTAGCTTTGCACAGTTATACTAACGTGTTACTTTGATTCTGAAGTGCAGGAATATGTGCTCTGCCTTGTATGTTGTTATGTTAGCCGTACTATGATTGATTTTGTAAGCATCATGAAACTTTCCCCCCAGGTGTCTCCACCCTGTACTACCACATGTACAGATGTTATGGGAACTTGTTCTCACAACAGAGGTATGAAGACTTCCATACTTTGAATACTATATTTAACCGTACACACACCAATTCTTCTGCGACAGGTAGTACCCGGAAAAACAGTGACGAAGGGGTTTCGATGGTTCATGTTTGAGTTTACATTTCTCATAATCTGCTGCAAAATGGTATTAATTACTAACATGGCTGGAAAGTGTAAGAAGTGGCAATTGTTTTGGGTGAAAATTGATTTTGGGCCCGAGGCTTACATGTACTTCCGGGTGTCCTTCCGCCCTGAGCGCGGTGCTTCGGTATGACCCAGATATGCCTTGTATGTGTTCTGGGGGTGCTGTCGCTACATGTATGCCTCGCGCGACGGGCTATTGTGATAATCTCAGTGTTAGGATTTTCTTTATACTTTTCTTAATAATAGTATACACAAGCGTTTTCTCTTTCCGACCATATAAGTCATATCGGTGGCTAGATTCTGGGGGATGGGTTTAATTCCACGTGAAAATGGCCAATTTTTGTATTATTTTTCATCGAAAAATTCTTTTTCCCCAAAAAATTTACTAAAATGTGAGAGGTGAAAGAAATTTAAATTCTATTGTTCTCGTAGCTAGAGGGATATCCTTCATTTGCAAACAGAGTGTTTTGGCTTAAGAAGTATTTCTTGAAAGAGCCGGTCAGTGGAGTTGAGGGTATGCAGAATCAAATTGAGACCCAAAATAAACTGGGATGTGCCCCCTTATCATTACTACCTTCGCCATCATTACTACCTTTGCCAAGTTGCAAGAGGACTGAGTGAGTGAGTGACCTTCGCCAAGAATATGTTTATGTAGTGTGGTTCAGCACGAATAACTCAAGAAGCTTTAGATGGATTGTCATGCATGAAACTTGGTAGGTGGGTAGGTGTTGATGAGACTATCTCTCTGAGTCTCTCTAGAAATAGAAATGATTAGATTTTGGGCCCCCTGGAGGCTTTCCTTGGTACTGCATCAGCACTTCCGCTTCTGATATCTTCTAAATCTGATATCATGTAAGTTTCCCCCACATAGGGGTCAGGTACATTTCCCAATTCCTCTCCTGGAAAGTCTTCAAATTCAGACACCATTTTTAGACACAGGTTCCCTTAGTTCTGAAGCCAAATGTAGATTTACACATGTATGAAATGTCACAGAAGAAACACCCACAAGCTGCCATCGAAAGACAGTGGTTAGTCCTTAATTGCAGTAAGCATGTTCATGTACAATTCTTTCGTTAATATATCAGTAGCTTTCTTATAATTACGTTACAAATATGTCAATGTATTGACAGTGCACTTATACATATATCATCATAATGGTAAGGTTTTGAGTCTTGTTTGTTCCCCCAGCCCATAATTGTGATGGCACCTTCTCCAACTGTGTGTTCTGAAACAGTTTTGGCACTTACTAGGTGAGTACATTTTAGCCGTATCTTGGTTACAATAACAGTCTGGGTGTCCCAGTCTGGAAATGTTTTATGTAGTGAGAAAGGGCCGTATCACAAATATTCAATACCGGATTCAGACATTAGAATTGAAGTTTGAAATGTGTGTTTTCTCACGGGTATGACATACATGTATTAAGTAAAATACAACACGGTGCATTCCGTATCACCCTGGGTCCTGGCCCTCCTGCAGATCAGATCTCCCTCCAGCTCCAGACCTGCAGGAGGGCTGGTATCTTGGGTGATGCGGAACTGACCGTGTAGTATTCTATAGTTACCTCCGGGGGGAGGAGACATCTTTCCGTGGAAGAGTTTTGTGAGAGATGTAGATTTTCATGTTCGCAGCTGTTTCTCGCGTTTGGGTGGACAGATTTTTTTTGGAGTCGGTGTATGTTTTGCTATTGGGCTGTAGATGATGCACGTTCTTTTGTTTTTATTGTCTATGTGTTTTCGGGCGTGAAAATGGTGGCCACGTATATGAACCCTCGCACAGAGGGGTGTCGGGTCTCGATAAATTCTTTGTTTAAACAACCCCTAGTCCTGCGGCGCGCAACAATTGTTGTTGTGCACAAAATTCAACACCATCAACTATACATAACAAACGTCAAAAGGCCACACTGATTTGATAAATGGATCTCAGTGGACATTTACGTCTGTTTCCCAGAAAAAAAGTTTGATACCATAATGTACATGTAAATCCTATAAAGAGTTCTTTTAGTGTTAAAGAAGTGCAGCCATCCCTATGATTCTCAAGCCCACCATTTCCTCATGGTGCATATCAACATGACCCACCTGTGACCTCCTACGGTCTCAGATGACTGTTGAAATCCGTGGCAGTTTGCCATAAAGTTGGCTTTTTGTTGTGTGGCTCATCTGTGAAATATTTTAACCAAATTTCCTCACTAAGTATGCAAATCAAGTTGTGATTTGTACTATCACTGGTATGTCCAGACAGACAGACACACCAAACAATATGTCTGGTGAAACTGCCTTTCACAGAGGTTAGAATGACAGCATACACTTACAATTCCTGAACATGACATCCTGACAGTGTGTTATCATGAAAGTTCATCTGTGTTAATTTAATTGGTAGTTACATTAAAGTTAAAACTTTTGGTCCAACACAAAAATTCTCTCACCTAGAGCTTTCGACCAGTCACTCTGGTCTTCCTCAGTAGACTGAAGTGAAGCTTGTTGTCACGTGGCTTCTTTGAAGTGTGACTTCAACACTGGGTCAAAGGTATCTGGTAGACGATGTCGACCCCCGTCGCGGTTCAATGTAGGGTGATGGGCCCTGATGTATATGGCTTTCTTCACCCCTCTCAGGAAATAGTCTTGTTCAGTGTCTAAAATCCTTACAGTGTCAAGTGAAACAAAATGTCCGGGTGACTCTATGTGGATGTGTTGAGACACCTCTGAACTGGCAGAGCTAGGCCGTGTATGTTCTTGAAACCTGATATGTGTGTTGATATGTTTCAGTATGATCTCCCCACTGAGCTTCTGTTCAGACTTCCGCCCTTACTTCACCATCCATGACAGCGAGTTTAAGGAGTACACCACTAAAACACAGGCTCCGTAAGTACAGGATCTACAGTACTGTACTCACATGTAGATTGTTTTGATGTAGCCCAGGTAGGATGAATTCATCAGGGATTAAAATACCACTTGCATATGTACAAGAATGCAGGGTAGTGCAGGGAGCATTGTACATTGTACATGTAGCTGTGCAGATACATGTATTTGTGATGTTCACTTGCACCTAACTAGCACAGGCCCATGTACTGGGTATATTATACAGCCTGTACATGTAGGCATACATGTATGAGTGGATTTTTATTTCCTGCACAGACTGTTTCTAAAGAGGGTTTAGTGTGATCCATACTTTTTAAATTCTGAGTGGTGCAGGTAAAATTTGTGCAGTGCACGTACTTGTATACAAAAAAAGCCCTGCATGTAGTCGATCTAAGAATATTGGAAGCTTGTCAATCTGGGTACATGTATGTTTCACTATGTATATGAAGTAGTGCTGTGTACCTAAACCCACATTTAGATTCAGGTCTGGATTCAAGTCCAGAGGTTTAGGTTCAGTTCTGGACTTGTAAGTCCGGACCTAAACCCACGGCATATACAAAATTGCATGTTGAACAGTCATGCAATTTTGTATATGCCATGGGTTTGGCAACCTTGCAATGTTGTTTGGGCAAAACTTGGACGCCACATAACATGGAGGCCGGTACTTGACGGTGCCTGGTGGCAATGTTTTCTTAATTTTGCAGCAAAGATTTTGCAAGATTTTAGGTGGTTTGGAAAGAAAAGGGGTATGTGAAATGGTCTTTTATGGTAATAAGTCCGGACTCGGTTCTTGACTTTTAGGTTTTTTTTACATGAACCTAAAACATTATAACAAGTCCGGATCCAAGTCCAGTGAACCGGTACACAGCACTAACATGAAGTATTATCTGTTGAAATGCAATCAGGGACCTCACCATACTGGGCAGCTGTTGTTGCTAGACACATGTTAGACCACCTTCAATGACATGAAGACTCTCATTTCCAGCCCTCCGGTGGTACTGGGAGTCACCAACCCTTTTTTTGCCAAGACGCTGCAGCACTGGCCACATATCATTAGAATAGGGGAGATGGGGAACATAGGTAAGCAGGACTGTAGTGTCTGTGGATCTTGTCAATGTGTTGTATCTTAAGTAGACATGCCAGTACTGTACCAGGAATGAAAAATATATGTACATTTTTGTAGGATACCTTGCATGTACATCATACATTAGGGTGATACCAGTAGGTTTTGTGATGACAAAATACAGATGTTTCCTGCTGAAAATACCTTTATCTGATTTTCAACTAGCAATATCAAAGCTTTTCATTAATTTCAAAATGTGGACAATACTGAAATGTGGTCTGGGGAAAGAAACTTTCATAAGATATTTTCATAATATATGCATCATGGTGCTTACATTTCACATGTATGTCGAGTACTAGTATATACAATGTATGAAATTTCATTTACCACTTCAATGAATCATGTCATTTTTTTTATTAATTATGCAAATTGGGCCCTTATTCACTTGTATCTGTTAATGTTCCACCTGCCATATTGGCAGACAATGTTGTTTATTACAGTAAAAAGTCTGTTGACCAAGGCTAGTTAAGGTGCTGGTTGACTTACTGCGATGTACTGGATATAACAATACAATGAACAAACTGTGAACACAGCTGGTAATATTAAGTTCCCATTCCTCTGCATTTTTAACATCTACATCTAGTTGCCGGTGGGAGACAGGTGCTCAAGACAAAGAAAAGTAGCTCTCTGAAGACAATAGATGCCAAACCAGGTGAGGAACTCTTAACTGACAATCCAGCCATACAATTTTGTGTGGCACCACAATGCTTAACTTGCTATTAGTTGCATGTGAGTGCTTGGGATTACTTGTACCCCTTTTGAAATAACTCCACCTGGAGACCAAGTAGAAAAGTGCAGCAACTGGCAGTGTGTTTCAGCATGAAGCTATATGTACATTGTACAATCATGTATAATTGTCAGGAGAAACTCAGGCAGCCATAAGAGATTCCCCCAGTTTCATTGCTTTTGTTTTGTTGTCAAACAGAAATGTCATGTATATGTACATGTACATGTACAATACACCAGTGTTCTCACTAGGCTGTTTGAGCATAAGGCCCTGTCTTTCAACCAGTATGGGGGTGTTTTTTTTAGGGGGAGGACCTTGTGGCGCTTCATGAATGTTGGAAAAATTAAAACTTGACTTAAGCATGAAGATACAACCTTGATATAACAGAGGGAAAACGTAACTACAATTTTTTTTTAAATCCAATTTTAAACGTCATTTCCTCCGAACTGGGGGTTAGATGTGCTTGCACCAAGTGCAAGTCTTTTTTTTGAAACAAGATTTTTATGGCTGGATGCCCTTCCTAACGCCAACCCAAACCCTAGTAGGGTATGTGTCCCTCAATAGGCAGGAAATATTTTTTCAGAGGGAAATAAGTTCTAACATTTTTTGGGGGACTGGATTCGCGCTTGCGGCACAGAAAGTGTGTCCTGCTGTACCTGATCCCAACACTGTGAAACTCTGATACATTGTACATGTAATGGCCTTTTTTCCGTAAATAATTTCATCAGGTTGGAAGATACTTAGGGTATAGAATTTTCTTCTTACACAACCAGTAAGGTTCTCACCTGCTTACGTTTCGATGTCTATCAGACAGCTTCCTCAGAGCTTCTGACTGGAGTTTTGCAACTCGCCGCTATTTAACCCCAAAGTAGGTGGC